AGCCCGCTCCTAGGGCTGGTACACTGTCTTAATGACGAATTCAACAATTATCATCCAATTAGTAGACACCTTTTCTCCCCCCTTTTTTAAAAATTTTATCACATATCTAATAAATTAAAATTTTTACTCTAATCTCTAAAAGAATTCTAAAATATCCACTGACCTAGCCGATTAACGAAATACTATGTAGATAACTGCATAGAAAATTCAAACATCAACACCCACTTCTATCAAACAGATGTGTAGACAAAATGACGGAAATAATTTTAAAGTCCTTCTTTGGGGCCCTACCCAAAATGTATGTAACTAACCTTTTACTTGAAATAGTATGTAATGTCTAGATCTTGATTATGTCATTGTTTATCTTTGAGTTACAGGTGCTATCCATTTTAGTCGTTCCCAGTGTTGAGAGTCCTCATGTGATGTGGTTTCTTTTATTTGGTACAGTTCTTTGTGAATCTGTAGTGCCAGTTGAAAGATCTTTGCTTCAGTTTTCAAAACATTTTTTAACAATTGATCTTAAAAGTAAAGTGGTTGTATATGGCTGACAGTTTAGATATTTCTGAACAGGTTTAGTGCCATGCATGACATCCATATGAAAGTCTTGAGGTTTTTGTTGATGTTTTGGTTTTGTAGCAATTTGTAGTTTTGGGTGAAACTACCTCTGGCGCAACATATTCTATGTTCCCTTTCCATTTTTCCTATACTAAATTTCTGATCACTGATCCATACATCGACGCATTTGAAGTGTTTAGTATTTACACATGAATTTTTATGATAGAGTACACATCCCATTCTACTTATTGGAACAATTGATAGAGGAAGTTGATTTTCTTTTCAGGATCTTTTATCTCAACTCTGAATACCTATGTTACATTGGCCTTGGTAGGGAAAGCAGGATCATTGTCTTCTTTAATATTATATATATATATATATTATATATATATATATATATTTCAATAAAGGTGCAATCAATTTACAAATTCATGAATTATTCATACAAAAACAAATACAAAGGTTAATGATTTAATTGAAAATCCGTAAATCGCATAAACAATTCAAATAATATACAAAAACCCCGAACCTGTTATGAATGAAAAGATCCTTGTTTTTATAAATTTCTGTTGCATTAGTTCTTATGTGGGTTTTTGTATATTATTTGAATTGTTTGCGACGATGGATTTCTCGCCAATTAAATCATTAACCTTTGTATTTGTTTTTGGATGAATAATTCATGAATATATATATATATATATATATATTAATCGACCGAAACGCAAGGGGCTTCTGGATATGGAAGAGTTAGAAACATTGCTGAGGAGCAAAGACAAAAGAAGAGTAATCAGGAAACAGTATATAGCAATTGATATTGCAATATGTATATACACACACACACACACAGGATGTAATAGCAAAATATCAAATTGTTAGATTACAGCTTGAAATGTTGAATTTTAGAAATGATTAAATATAGCTTACTGGAATTCTCCAAGGTTTTATAACACTATTGAACTATACTTTGAGCCCTAAGAATGTATAATTATGTTCCAAGCTTAACAGAAGAATCGTGATGAAATCCATCATAAACGAAAATGACATATTCGTCATTAAATAATCATAGCTTGGAAGCACATAAAGCAGTGAGATATATATATATATGAAAAAGTGTACATATCTATTGGATATATGTGTTTATATATATATGTGTGTGTGTGTGTGTGTGTGTGTGTGTGTGTGTATAAATATACACATATATACATATGTGGTTATATTTTGTGTATGTATGTATGTTTTTCTATATGTGGCTATATATTGTGTTTGTACAAGTTGTGTGGTATTATATATTTATGTGTGTGTGTTTGTATATACATGCATATGGGAATGTATGTAAGTAAATATATGTATGTATATGCATATGCCTTGCACGTGCTTACTTATGTCTTTGTGTAAAAGGTGGATTCACATGTGTATATGTTATGTTTATGTATTTGTACATATAAATGTGTGTGTGTGTGTGTGTGTATATATATATAAGATGATTATGCAGATTTTATTCTTATTTATTTCTCTAGCTGTTACTCATATTCTCTCAAACACCACACATGAACATGGGGTTGATAGCTGCCTCTCCTCCCCGACCCATGATGTCTTCAATAATATAAATCCCCAGAAAATAGATTTTCTAGCTTAAGTGTCTAGACGTCCCGTTATTTTATTTTTAAAAATAGTGTCTGGATAAAATTAAACCATTTGTAATTTCGGTCTGATGAGACAAGTATTAAAAACTTGGTGAAATATATTATCATTTATAAACGTGTTTTTGATGATGCGTTAAGTTTTTCCTTTGAGATATATATATCTATCTATATATATATATATATATATATATATATATATATATATATGTGTGTGTGTGTGTGTGTGTATGAAAGTATCTAAAAAAAAAAAATGTGGCTGTTCAAAATGACTTACATTACACTATACACAAGAAAAATATTCCTAAAAGTCTGCTATTATATAATATGTTCCTTTAAATGTATACAAAAACAAATGGAAATTACAAGTTTTATCACTTTATATCCATCTCTCCAGCTGCATTGAATCCAAATCTCCAAGAGATTGACTTAATGGGCCAACATTTTTTGCCAACATGAAGAGGAAAGTTGGTTCAGTGTCATATGAGAGAGAATTTCCAGAATTTCTTAGTTATAAGTTGTAGGAACATTGTTATTATTATAATTATAAATAAAATAAAATTTAAACTTTGTTTAAAATAAATAAATAAAAATAATTAAATTACTGCCAGCATGCAACAGGGACTGTTCCTACCGCAATTACAACTGTTGGGATGACAATGTGTTTAATTCCATCTGTGATAGCATTTCTGATATTACAGAGTAACTTACTCTTTTTTTATGGTATTATCACAATTGTAATGTAAAATGCATAAATAAAATTTTATGATGTTACCATACAATTTACTGTTTTTTTATTGTTATGTATGTTCATTCTGTTTTTCCTCATGAATTTATGACTTCGATTGTGTGAGTGAATACCTCCACAAAGTCTACCATTCATTAAATATTGCTGTCACCTCTGGTCTGGTGCTTCTATGTATTTAGATATTCTTGATAACAACAAAGAAGAATCTGCAATGTTATTGATCCTGACCTGGCATCTCACCTTCACCACAACCGTAATGTAGATTCCATGGGCTTTTTCTATAAATATTATTGTTCTGATGAGCATTCCCTTTGTAACCTCTCTTTTACGTTTTTATTTATTTATTTTTTTTTTTTAAACTTGTTTACTAAAATGTTAGTTCTTCCAGCTCAGAATTCAGGTGACAGTTATCAGTTTAGAAGACATAACAGTAATATGAATGGCTAGTTATTAGCAAGGTTATTTCCCCACTCCTTCACTGTTTTGAAGACGGGTTTTCCATGGATCTCAATTTCTGAAGAATTTCTTCTCTTTGCAAAGTTGTGAGGCACAACAAACAAATGGAGAAAGAAAAAAAAAAGTCAAGATTAAAAATAATAGATTTATTACAGATTATTGAAAATTGTTGGTATGAGGAAAGAGCATTTTCTTGGGCAGTTTTCATACAAATGGCCACAGCTTTTACCTCATTATAGAATATTTACATCATGTAGAGGAGGAGGACAACCTTTTGACAATCTGCCGCAGACACAGTCTTTTGCATCTTGGGGAAAGTTAGCTTTACAAAGATTTCTTTTCTTTTTTTTAGGAGGAAAAAAAGAAAATCATAATTATACATACATACATACAGATGTAAAATAGTGATTAGTAAGGCTTTTAGTCAGTCAGGCAAATACATGCACTTCTAGGGACATTGCCTAGTAAAATGTCTTCTGCAAGAGAGAGAGAAAGAAAGAGCTGAACAAAGACTTGCTAATGAACCTATTTCTATCATTTCAATGTTAGAACAATTTGCTAGGTTTTAGTGAAAAACAAAAAATTCACCAAATATGAACAACATTACTTTATACAATGATTTATTTTTCAGGTTTGTGTCTTAATGAGAAGATGTCAGAGCGGAAAGAAGGTCCTGAAGTTTTTTTTGTTTTTTTTCATAAGACATTTGGAAAAAGTGAATCATTTTTAAGATCTGCTCTCATCAGATTAGGCATCCATATAACAAAATTGCAGTGCACAATAAAACCGGAACTAATGACAAACAAAAGAGAAAGTTTCAAAATGGAGGCACGAAGAGATGTAGATGGGGGGATGAAATAGAGAAGAGAAAATTCAACATGCCAGCAGCAAGCAGCCAATTACTTATCAGTAACTGACAAAAATCACAGATTTATGATGGAATGAGTATATTAAAAAAAAAAAAAAAAGAAAAAAAAAAGAAAAAAAAGACACATACAATCATTATGGGGAGGAAAGAGGAGTAGATTTAGAAGGATTAGGATTATCTGTCATTAAATTCACTCTGCAGGGATTTTCTTCTGATGCAATTAAAAAGCATTCATTTTTTTTTTCTAACAAATCAGCAGTAAATTTCAAACAGGCAAGATAAGGCATCAAAATCCAAGAGAAAAGTACACATTTAGTAACTGAAGTGGAAAGTATGTTAATATAAAAGAAATATAAAAAGGTCTTTAACAAGAAGGTTCTGGAATAAAGTAACGAAGAAAAATCAAATTTAGTAGAATTTTCATTTAGAAGAAAAAAAATGCCAATGTCAAGGCATTTGTGAAAATGGCTGTCATCATAAAGAGTATGTAGGTAAAGTTGCAGAACATATCATGGTGGTGCCACAAGGCAGGAATCTACTGTTAAGAAATTAGTTATTGCAGCACACCAACCATGCAAATAGTATCACACTAAGCGAGTGAGAGTTAGCATGTTGGCATGGAGATGAGGTCTCTCAGTCAACAACTCTTGTTTACCTGTATGAGTGATGATGATGATTTACAATACGCCATTTAATGTCAAGCTAATGACTACTCTGCAGATTATGGTGTGTACTAGAATGCTACGGAAGGAACCTGCAAGAATTAAGAAAGTCAGTCACATCATCTTGGTAGAATTAATACACACAGTAAACTGATCATGCAATTTTAATAATACACATATTGGGATTGGCTGGTTTTTTTTTTTAAGATGTCTTAATATTTGTACTATTTCCAAGAGTTCATTTTCAGGATGCAACACAAAGGATTCACTTCCAAAGAAATCATTCAGAAGAATGTTATGGAAAAAAAATGTGAAATTTGTGAAGATTTAAGTGAAAACTATAAAATGTTAGCCAAACTTTAATAATGTAAGATTTCACTTCAGTCAATGGAACATAATCTAGTTTTTTTTTAAAACTTATTGGGTTAAATGAATTTTAATTATAAATACAGGGTGCATTAGAAATAACTCCCACATAATGGTAAGACATTAGTAGCAATGGTATCTTCATCTAGCTAATGTCTTACTCTTATATGGGAGGTGTTTCTGCTACACCCTGTATTATAAACAAAAAAGGGAAGAAATAAGAAAATCTGACAAGACAAGTTCTTCAGATTTGATAAATATGCTTACAAATTGAATTTTTTTTTTTTTACTACTGGAAACAATAGCCATTCAAATATTTTGAGCACAAACAGAAAGGAAAAAGTTGCAATTTTTTTTTTTTTGATAAGTTCTTCAAACCTTGTGCCTTTTTAGTAATACTATCACAATAAAAGAACTGATGCAAAATTGGCTTTATGGAATTTAATTTATCAAGTTCATAATAGTTTTGTACTTATAAAGTTCAAAATATCAATAATTCATTTGATAGAAAAAAAAAATTAAAGAAATTAATGCAAAGAGGAAATAACTAAGTAAATTGCACTCTGAATTTGTGGAATTGGGGTGGGGATCCGACTACAAAAGAGGAAGTTATATTCTATTTTGCAGTAGATGTGAGCATCTGAATTATCAAATTTTAGTGCACTTTAGAGACATTTTCATCAGCCAGTCCTTAAATTATAATAAATTTTAAAGTTAGTAACTGTAAGACAATTATCATGGTAAAGACTAGAGGAGTGTTAATTTTAAATTCTAACTCATGTTCTCATATGAAGACTTAGAAAAAAAATAACACTATTGAAAAGTTCCAGAAATCTTTGACAATGAGAATTCTATCGCATAGAAAGTATGGAACTGTTTTTAGAGAATTGGCATAATTCATGGTGTAATTATCTCAACAAAATGGATGTTAGCTAAAGAGAAAAAAAAAAAAAAAAATTATTTTCCACTCAATTTAAAAGAAGCTTTCAGCCTGCATAAAAACTTCATTTTATAAGGAAAAAGACTGGTATAGAAGGAGGTGTCTGCTGTAGGATTTCTTTGTCAGCAAAAGAAATTAGAAATACTTACTTTTTTTTTTATTTAAAAAGCAAAAAGGGGCTAAATTTTTCTCTGAATGGAAAGATGTTCTGGAAAGCTTATAAAAGGAAGTGTTGAATAATAGGAATTAGATATTTTTTTAAATGTGTAAAAAAAAAAAAAAAGAATGTAATAAAAGGTAACTTGTGTTATGGAAGGCTAGAATTCAGATCAGAAATTGAAAGTTGAAGGAAATACAAACATCAAACAAATGGAAAAGGGACAATGGATGTACATAGATATGAATGAATTACTGACAGAAATTATATTGAAGAGAAAGAAGTGAAAGTAATAAAGTAATCCTAGAATTAAAAAGTTGCAAATAGGATTTGTTTTTAAATTTTCTTTGTAAATTTTACTGCTGCAACACAGGGACATAAGTCTTCAAATGTGACCTGAAGTTCATTTCTGCAAGAGTGGACCACTTGGGAAGAGAAAGCTGTGGATCACAACGTCTGTATAAGCAGTTATTACCACTGCAAAAAAGAAAACTCAAGTGCGGTTGAACAGAAGGGAAATGAATATGTGGCAGCGATGACACAGCTGCAACCATCAGCCTTCAAAGTGCAGCACCCAGGCCAGAGATTACTGTTCAAAAATTGGCTTCTTTAAACACAACAGACACCAGTCCACATCAAACTGAGTTTTCAAGTGACACATCAACTGTCTGACTAAACAGGTCAAAATAAGAGTTATTCATAATTCTAGTTCACAGTAAATATGTTTTAATAGAAGAATAAAACCTTTTTCTTAAACTTTAACTTTACGTAAAACCATAAAAACAAACAAAATTATTCAACTCTTTGTGAATGCCAATTTTCAAATTGATATAAATTTTTCTGCTTAAATGCAAGTAAAATCTGATTTCCCAATGCCTCAATGTCATAATTACTTGTGACTGATAAGAGGAAAGTAAAACAATTCTACTTATTCCAGACTTTCTCACTCACGCAAACATTTATACAATGTGCAAAACCCATCTTTACTGTCCATTCATTGCAGATTCAATATTTCTCTGCACCCTGGAAGCTTTGGGCTTTTCTTTAGGAGTGTTTTCTCCAGCTTCTTGGGCAAAATATTTCATTTTATCCCGAAAAGACATTCGCTCGGGGCCTGGCATTTTGACCGAATTGGCCGCCTTCTTAGCTTGAATTCTAGTCCGTGGATCACGATACACTTCTTGGGAACCAATGACCCCAGGAACTTCAGCAGTTCGATAATGTACCTCAGTTGGCTTGGGATGGGTCACTGGTGGTGGAGAGGTTGGAGTCTGTGGTTGGCTCACATCAAACACATCACTGGTCGGCGTTGTTGGAGAGGCTAGCATGTCATCATTTTCGTGGTAAGATGAGTTTGTGGGGTTATACTGATCTGAAGCATGTGAGCTGGACGATGAAGGGTACGACGAGAAAGATGGGTTGATCCGAGTTTCCAGTTGTGTGTTGAAGGAAACAGACTTTTTGGGTGCAGTGACATCAGGGTTACTACGCAGAGCCGATGTACTGGTACTTCGGCCAACATTATTATATGCTGGAATATCGTTTAAACCTTGGTCTTGAGCAAGCTTTATTCCCCCTCGTATTTGGTACTGATTTAGAGTTTCATATGAAGAGCCCCTTTCTGGAGGTTGAGGAGCTGATTGGAACAACTTGTCTGCTGGTGGAGGAGGGGGAAATGACATGCTTGGCCCATAATCTAGATATGCAGAATTATAATTGTTGATGGAATTGTAGTCAGTGGTAGGCAAATCATTGTATCGATTTCCTGGACGCATTTGTTGTTCTTGCAGCTTTTTCTCTTCATTTCGCCGTCGAATTTCTTCCTCGGCTTCCCGTGCAGCTTGGATTTGTTCTCGCTCCTAAGAAATAAAATGAAAAGTGCTATTCAAGTTAATCAAGAACATAACTACAAGACAAATTTATGACTTTTCTTTTGAAAATCACCAGTAATCAGAAAATTTAAAAAAAAAAAAAAAAAAAAAAAAAAAAAGACATGAATAATTTGCTTCATCATCTTCATAAAACAATTTTATATATGGGATCGGATTTCCTACATTTTTCAACCGATTTCAACAAAACTTCACAGGACTACGTAAAATTACCTGGCAGTGGTTCTGACAGCGTCCAAAATTGCAAAAACAATTGTTTTTGCATGAAATCAATTTAAAAGCACGGGTAAGGGCCATTTATGCAGATTGGACAATGTTTCGTTACCGAGCCTCCAAAACAAAGCAAATGGTCCAATTTCTGATAGCACTAATGCTTGGCTATCTAACAAGTACCAAATTGTTTGCAAGACTGTCAAAGCCGCTTGACCAGGGAACCATAAATGGGGGTACCAAGGGACAGGATTTAGCCCTGTGAACACACATTCACTGGCACAGTATGTACAGTTTTGGTTTGAATCAAATGAAATTTACGACACACTTGTGGCTTACTATCGCCTTTATGTGTGTCAAATTTCAAAATTTTTCGCAAAAATAACCATAGCTGCACGCGGATCAATTTTTTTTGTAACTTCCTTACACATACATACACACACACACAGCTGCGTACAACAGAGTCCGCGTGTCGATTCCGAGACTGCTGCAAGCCCATTGGTCACTTTCACAAAGCTTGACCTTGGGGCCTGTCCAATCATTGTGCAGGATTTCTCATAAAGTTATAGCACCCGCGTGACAGCTTATGTGTAAGTGCGCTCAAGGTCAACCACCTCTATTGCATGACTCAGGCATGCTTTCACACTTTTGCATTTATTGTTGCCTGCACTTGGCTTACTTTATTCGCCTACTTTGGACACCACAAGTTGTTGATTACGTGTTCTAGCTGCTTTTGTATTTTATAGTTCTAACCCAAACCCATACACATTAGCCAATTGTACTAAAAACCCATTTCCTTTTGGATTTACCCTTGGTTTACCTTTTTAAATTTTCACTTTTTTAGTTTCGAGTTGCCCTTTAGTAACATCGGAACTCATTTTACTGGGTGTTCCCTTTTTTGTGTCTACATTAGCAGTGCACGTTTTTTTGTTTTGGATTTGTCGAAATCTCTTTTTAAGCTTTACTCTCTTTAACATTTTTACTGTTTGGATGCCACCTAAAAGGAGGAAACTTTTCGGACGGCGCACAGCAGCTGCCTCCGCTGCTAGAGCAGCGAAGGCGAGTGAAACCCCTGAACAGACTTCTTTGCGTCTTTTACAGATGGCCTCGAGCTCAGCTGCTCACTTATCTGTGGAAAGTGCCGCTGCACAGACTGAAAGGTTGGCTTCAGCGGCTTCAACCATGTCCACACGCCTGCCAGGCTTTCAGTTGAAGAACGTTCACTTCAGAATTCACAGGACACAGACCGCGTGGCTAGGTTGAGGGCTTCACGGTCACCAGCACAGAAAACCTTTCATCGTTTGCAGGATTCCACCACCAAAGCTTGTTCCAGTGGTTTAGAAAGCCCTGGACAAACAACTTCACATCGTCTTAGGAATACTAGGGCTACAGCCGCCCCTAGAGCTTCGGAACAACCCCAAGAAACCGCTCATCGTTGCTTTAGAAATGCCCTATCCACCTCATCTGCCAGACCTTAGAAAGCCCTGCACAGACCACTGTTCATCGCGTTAGAAATGCCCGCTATACTGCGTCTGCCAGGACTGCAGAAAACTCTGAAGGTACGCCGTCAACGGCTCGAAAACATTATCCAACTTCGAGCTTCTTTGAATGGCATAACTTCAGCGTCTGTGTCATTTTGGTCAAATGCTGCATACAATTATGACTGCACTGTCAACTATTCTGCTAAGAGAGATGTACAAATAGGGGCCATGGATAAAGTTTGCACTTTTTGCAACTCAAAAAAGTGGGCCGGTGAGCAACCTGGGCTTTGTTGGTCTGGGGGCAAAATCAAACTCCCTTCTTTAGACGAACCTCCCCAGCCGCTTAGGGACCTCCTTCTGGGTACAACTTCAAAGTCAATGCATTTTCTTGAAGCAATACTGTTGCTTCCAGATGACGTCTTTTGGTGCGAAGGCTATTAGTGAGGGGGGATGGATGCCTACTTTCAAAGTGCAAGGCCAGGTTTACCACTTAATGGGATCACTTTTGGCTGATCAGGGAGAGCCACCTCAGTTCCTACAAATTTACTTTCTTGCCGACTACAACGAGCAGGCTGATGAGCATCTTTGCATTCTGCCTAGCGATATTTCCGTCGGTCCCCGTAGAGACATTCTGTTCCGTCTACAAGACATGCTTCACGAAACTAACAGTTACATCCGAAGCTTAAAGTTTGCGTTGCAAAACAACTCTTCGCCCTCTTTCAGCGTCGTCATCGATGCAAACAGATGGCCTCATGGTGAGCATGAGCATTGCTTCAATGCTCCTGCATGTAATGAAGTCACCGCAGTCATCCACGGTGAGGAGCATAACAGCCGTGACATTGTCATAAGGTACCGAGGCAGTTGTCTGCGCTTTATCAGTGAATCCCACCATTCATACGACTGTCTCCAGTACCCCCTTCTTTTTCCATACGGAAGCGATGGGTACCACTTCAAAATCCCAATATACCAGGCAAGCAGCAATTCCATGTTGATCTCAAAGACTGTCTCCTGTAGGGCTTACTATGCCTACATGTTTATGGTTAGGCAGGGTGAATTTAACCACTTGCACAGGTGCCGTCAACTATTTCTTCAATTCGCTGTTGACATGGCTGCAAAACTTAGAACTGACTCCTACATTCACCTTTGTGATGGTCTGCGTTCTGATGGTGACCCACGCAATCTTGACAAACTGTGCATTTTGCCTTCCTCTTACACTGGTGGCCCTCAATACATACATGAAATGACACAAGATGCAATGACCTATGTCCGTCATTACGGGAGGCCTGATTTGTTTGTCACGTTCACGTGCAATCCAAAATGGGTTGAAATCACACGCAAACTTTTTTCAGGTCAGCAGTTCTCACACCGCCCTGACCTAATTGCCCGCGTTTTCTGGTTACAGCTGTGTAAGCTTACGGATTTAATCCTTAAAGGGCAAGTCTTCGGACGCGTTAAGTGTCATATGTATACAATGGAATGGCAGAAACGCCTTCTACTTCATGAAATTGCTGGGCCAACGAGTCTCACAGATATTCACACTGTCAACGGCATAGAGTGCCAGTCTTATAGAGAGGCATGCTTCCGTTTGGGGCTGCTTGAAGACAACTCCCAATGGGATGCAGCCATGGCGGAGGGTCAACTTCTCAGAATGTCATCACGGCTTCAAATGCTGTTCACCATTTTGCTTCTTGCGATGCGAACTAAGCGATCCTCTGTTGGTCTGGCTAAAGTACAGAGAATCCATGTCAGAGGATGTGCTGTTCTCTGTTCAGCATAACAGCCCAGGAGTTGAATGCAGTTTCACTGACTTCATATTCAACAGAGTGCTGGTGGCCCTAGAAGATGTTTTCAAACTGGGAGGTGCCTCTTTACCAACTTACGGTTTACTACCACCACTCAGAGACGGTTTTGACACTGTACCAACTGATTGCAGGAAACATCCTACTCCATCGAGGGGCTGAACTCATACATTACCGAAAATGAGCCCAAACTTCTACCTGATCAGAGGGTTGCTTTCACTACCATAACAGACAGGGTAAACAGCTCCAGTGGAGGTATATACTTTTTAGATGCACCTGGAGGAACTGGAAAAACGTTTGTTACTAAATTAGTCCTGGCAGAGGTATGGCGTCGTGGGGAGATCGCTATTGCAGTCGCATCTTTCGGGATTGCTGCAACGTTGCTACCGGGAGGTAGAACCACTCATTCGGCTTTTAGGTTGCTGCTTGATCTATGCCGGTCACAAACTCCTCTCTGCAACATAACAAAGAATTTGCCACAGGCTGAAGTTCTGCAGAGATGCAAATTTATGATTTGGGATGAGTGCACGATGGCACACAAGGGGGCCCTTGAGGCACTTGACGGAAGTCTCCAAGACATCCGCGACTCCTCCGACCCCATGGGTGGAGTAACCCTTCTCCTCGCAGGTGACTTTAGGCAGACTACCTGTTATTCCTAAAGGTACACGCACTGATGCTGTCTGCGCATGCCTGAAGTCGTCTGCCCTTTGGCACCACGTGGAGACTCTTAAACTGAGCATGAACATGCGTGCCTACTTGAATGGGGACTCCAGATCCGCTGACTTCGCATGGGACTTTCTTGCTCTTGGGGAGGGGAAAATGCCATCTGACACACTGGGTTTTGTGCAGATGGATCAGCTTGCCACCACTGTTGAATCACCGGATGAATTGATGAATGCAGTCTTCTACAACCTATCCACTAATTTTGCTGATGCCAATTAGCTTGCTGGGAGGGCCATATTGGCACCGAAGAACCGTACAGTTGATTCCATCAACCTTAAACTGTTGGATTGCATTCCCGAGCAATGTCATGTTTATAAGTCCATCAACAGAACTTCCGATCCATCTGAATTAGCTGAGTATCCCATAGAAGTTTTGAACACCCTTCAGCCGTCTGGACTCCCACCTCATATTCTTCGGCTCAAAGTTGGTGCTCCGATTATGCTAATCAGTAATTTGCTCCCACCTAAACAGTGCAACGGGACTCGCCTCATTATTAAATCCCTTTCTCTGAACCTGATTGAGGTGACAATTGCAACTGGCTGCAGCAAGGGATAAGTCGTTCTGATTCCCAGGATGCATCATCTACCGTCAGACGCAAGCATACCAATCAACTTATGTCACTCATAATTTCCCGTGAAGCTTTGCTTTGCTATGCCCATTAACAAATCAAAAGTCAGTTTTCATAAGCTCTCAGCCGTGATGTTGACTGCGACTGAAGAGAAGGCACTTTTTCATTGCAATTGAGGTGCTCGGCCTTATGGCTACCCCCCTGTTGCAGTTTTAAGGGCTCTCAGCTGTGATGTAGATAGTGACATATCAGAATAAAGGAAGTTATATCACAGAAATTTTCTTACCATGACATCCCATCACTGTTCGCTCTTCTCTCAGTTTTACGGTTCTGCTTTGTGGTTGTGGCAGCGCCGTCTTTTGGTCATAAGACATGTCTTTTAGTTAGACAAGCGGTTTGTTTGTGCTTGCGCATGGCACATACTTTATGTCTATGGCTTCCTCATGGCACGTTTTCCCTTCAATCCTTATGTATGTTGCAACTGAATCATGGTTTCTTGACTACTTACCACAAGTGCTTCTAGTAATGCTTAATGGTCCAATTGGTTAAAGCAGTAACAGATGTCTTTAGTAATGGCAAATGACTGATGCTACAACGGCTTTCCGTTACTTCCTTCGATACCTTCGAATACTTGGGCCTGCATGATGTCTGCTTAAACTGTGTGCATTGCATTTCAACGTTTTGTAAAAACTTAGTTCCTGTTGACTTACAAAGCACATCTTTCAAAGCAACAGCTGTCCCCAACTCTTACTGTTACATCCCCGGGCAATGCTGGACTCTACTGCTAGTATCATATAACCTTATAATGAGATTTCATTGTTATGGTAACATGAAGCGGGGGGGAAGAGGAAGAGGAAAGAGAGAGAGTGAGGGAGAAAGAAAATAATGCTGTCTGGAAAGAGGAAAATATTTATTCTTTCATTTTCTCACTAAAGATGAAAAATGTCTCAAAATGCAAAAGTCACCACTTACTAATTCCTTTTTTCTTCTTAAATCTTCCATTTTACGTTCTCGCATTTTCTCTTCTTCCATTAAGTGAATTTTTCGTTGTTCTTCAAAATCTCGCCGTTGCTTCTCTCTCAACTCCTGTGTAATAAAAAAACCCAAAAAAACAAGCAAATCTACTTTCAAATATATCAGTAAATCACTTTTGTAAATGTGGTCAGATTATCCAAATTGCAAAGATTTGCCAATAGGGAGACCCTTTGGCAAATGGTCACTGATTTGATTCATTGTTTAAAAAAAATCAGAACTTGGCAAAATAGCTACAATTTTCTTGGCTGACCTTTGAACTTTATGAAGAAGTAATTGAAACTTCATTACATGGACTAACAAACTGCATAAACAGAATTCATTTTCAGTAAAATTTTGTGCTTCACAATAACACCACCAGAAAATCAGTTGAACTCAAAATAGAAAACTTTGAAGTTTGAAGCATTTCTAGAAAAAAGGGGTCAATGAATCTAAGATTTTTTTATGTTTATACTCCACAATTGCAATGAATAATTTGACTATTAATGTGAAATTATCAAATTTATTTTACACCTGCCACAGTTACATAAAAAAATAAAAATCCTTAATTGACAAGTAATATCTATCAGGTTTGGAGGGAGGGAGGAAGGGAGGGACTGAGGGAGGGGGAGAGAGAGAGAGAATGATTAGGAGCTTTTTGTCTTAACTTCATGTGGTTGATGAGAAAAATAAAAGTAAAATGTATTGCACAGACTGATTTAGAGTTTCATATGAAGAGCCCCTTTTCTGGAGGTTGAGGAGCTGATTGGAACGACTTGTCTGCTGGTGGTGGAGGGGGGGAAATGACATGCTTGGCCCATAATCTAGATATGCAGAATTATAATTGTTGATGGAAGCTTGGATTTATTCTCGCTCCTAAGAAATAAAATGAAAAGTGCTATTCAAGTTAATCAAGAACATAACTACAAGACAAATTTATGACTTTTCTTTTGCGATTGAGCTCACAACCTTCAGTCAACCAGCTAAAGACTTTAGCTTTTAATGGAGATGTCACCTCTACTGACTGGAATAAGATCACCCAGCCAAGCCTTTTTCTCTCTTGTTAGTTTGATTGATGAAAAAGTCAAGTGGAAGAGAAGAAATCAAAACAAACAGATAAAAACAAATTTATTTAAACTATACTTCATTGAAAAGAAAAAAAAAAAATGAATTGGCTCTAACATTAAAAACTGAAGAAAATAATTTCAGTATGTTTTATTTTAAGAAAGGTAAACTTGTGCACTAAACACATAAAATGAACTGTGCAGTTTATAAAAGCAGTAATGAGAAGGATGAAATTGGTTAAAAGTGCTTTGCAAAATCTTATACTGAAGATTTTCTTGCTGAACAATGCTTAATAGTTAGATAGACCAGTTGATTTTTGATAGTGATCAGATCAAAACCTAACTTAAAATAATACAACATGACATGATACGGGAGATGGTTCAATAAATCCAATTAAAAATATCAAAATTTCATTTAAACCAAATTGGTTATGTTTAGTCACTTTGGTGTGTGGCTTTCATAGTGAAAACAAATAAATGTGTCCCTTTTTAACAAAAAAGTTTTGACAAGGAATGAAGGATAGACAATTTATAACATGTAATATGAAATTAATTCTTTGACTGTGCTTCAAAGTTGCAAATGGTGACTTCTAGTAGTGAAAGGGTTAACAACTCAAGAAAAATGCTAAATAAAGCAGGAATCAATGGAAGGTTCAAAATATGAATTAGAACCATAAAATAAAGACTGAAGAGAGCATCAGAATGGATTGAAATGGAGACTAGAAACTGACATCACTATAACTTTTCAGTAACCTCAAGGGCCAAGCATTTATCAAAATTGAATGTGACAAAGCAATGCCAACTGATAAAATAGAAAAATATACTTATTCTAACATTCTAAAATAACACTACATTATTCGGACTATTATCCTCATCTTTGTCGCCATATTTAATAAAATTTTTCACCCGTTGTACGCTCTGGCATTCTTCAGGTGGTTGGAATGTCGAACTGAATGTTTTATTTCACTCACTGGGGTAGACTGTAGTTCCATGTGCCATGTTTATTTTATTTTATTTTATTTTTTTTTAAATGGATGTCAGTTGACAGTTATCTCCTGTTAATTCCCCTCTCCAAGTTCTCCACTGCCTTAACCTGGTATTGAACTCTCACTCTTTGGGTCCTGTCACTGGATCTAAACAACGTCTTTATCCACTGTGTCATCTGTCCTTGAGGACATGTGTATGAATTTCTGGATATTATAAACCTAATGTCATCCAGCTTTTGAAGGTTGTCCTGATGTCATATGGACCGCAGATCCTTTGTATTTACTCTGATAACCCCTTCACATAAGGCAGGCAGACTGTTTTCTGAGTGTTGTTGTCCTCCTCTTGTACCTGCCTATCCCAGTTTTTTGGGGCTGCTGCCATGTACCCAGGGTAGTTGTTACGTTGTAGGTTACTACTTATACTGACCAATTCTTCATTTAATGTCTCTGGGTCGCCACTTATGACTTTTGCTCAGTGTTGTAAGCAGCGGATGATCCCTTTCTTTATGTTGCATGGATGGTGGAAGTTGAAATTGAGGTACTGTCTGGTGAATGTTGGTTTACGGATGTCTTGAACCCATGATTTGTTCCAGGAATGGGAGTGTCTTGTTACTCTTTCTTCATCGTGAACGGTGTTGAGTTCACATGGTCCAGTAGAACATGAATATCTTCCTGGTGTGGCCAGAGTATGAAGGTGTCATCTACGTACCTTAACCATAGAGTTGGCTTTAGAGAGGGGGAATTAACAGGATATAACTGATAACTGACATCCATTAAAAAAAAAAAAAAAAAAAAAAAAAACATGGCATGTGGAACTAGAACAGTCTATACCAGTGAACGAAATAAAGGGTTTAAGTTTGACCTTCCAACCACCTGAAGGCCGGAGCCTACAACAGCTGAAACATTGTAATTTAAATGTTAACAGCAATGCTTGTAAAATAAATTAGGAAACACACTTTGGTGCATTCTAAAAGACATTTTATAAACCATGCTGTTAATGTTTAAACTTTTTGTATGCTGCCACTTTTTGCTTTACACCAATAAGGGGGGAAAAAAAAAATAAAAAAATAAAAGAGCTATTTTTATTGAGATGGGGCACCAGAAGAAAGTCAAAGAATAGTTTGGTTAAAAGATGAGGAGAAAAAAAAAATGCCCAGTTGTCTAAAAAATCTCTAAAATCCCAATATTTGGAGTTTTCAAGCTGTTCACAAACTACATAATTTATAATTTTTTCTTGGTAGCTGCAAAAGACAAATGACATTTTCTCAAGAAGACTGAAGCAATTCCTGAATTAAAAAAAAAAAAAAAAAAACAATAAACAAACTCACCCTTTGTTTTTGAAGATGCTGTTCTTGTTCCAGAATTTTCTGCTGCTGACGTCTTTGAAGTCGCTTTCGATCATCATCCCGCTCTTTTTCGAAAATTTCCAATCTTTGTCGTAAACTGTAACAGAGGCAAGCAAATGTTTTTTTTTAAAGATGTCAAAGCATGTGGAAAGAATTAAAAAAAGATTCAAATAATTTATTTTTCTTACCGTTGCATTCTTTCAGTTTCTTTCTTGTATTCTTCAGATGCTCTGTTCTCATCAATTTCCCGAAGTCTGTTAAGTGTTTTCTGAAGATCTTCCTGAATATTTTTGATCAGCCATTCTTGGCTCTTTGAGAAAAACAAAAATAAAAATAAATTAAAGAAAAAGGTTTAAAAAATACATTAATGGCAATTATAAAGATGAAATGATGTCATGTTTGTTTTGATTTCTCAGATTGAAAAACAAGATGAGTAAATATTTCATGTGACCAAAGTTTTATGACCATTACAAATTATCATTTTCACATCTGGCAAAAAAATGCAATTTTGGAATCAAATTTCTTGATATTGATTATTTAAATTGTACTTTCAAGATAACATTCAAATTTTGCTAGCAAGATTTTCAGATGATAATAAATTTTTATAGTTTTGCTTTTAAGTTTCTCTAAGTTATTTCATTTTCATAAAATGTTTTTCCAGTGGTGAAAAAGAAATACTACATTCCTTTATTCTTCCTTTAAAACAATTACTTTCTTGTCAAGTTATTGAAGTTTGTTGATGCTGTAGTAAATTCCAACTAATTTTTTTTTACTTTTACATTCTATGATTTCAGTTGTGTTAGGCTCATCTCCCACCCAAGGCAGTAATCCCACCTTTTGGCCGAGATCATTACCTGCCACCTAGGGTGTACCCAAAAGGGTAAGTACTGAGGGGTCTTGAGCAAATTTTGAATAGCTTTCCGAAATCCCACATTAAAACTCAACCACGTGTCACATTATGATGTGGGTGTGCAGATAAATAACTACATCAAAAAGCATCTCACCTAATGATGAGAAAATGAAATAAAATTCAACAGTCTCCTTTGTCAATTTATGTAAACCATGTCTTCACCCAATGAATTGATTTAATGAATTTAAGCACAGTACTAGATTGGTGACAATGTCTCATCATTTTACAGTTGGAATGGTTAGATTTAACCATAAGTTCTATGCTAACAGTTTCTTCTCACACGTGGAACTCTTCTGGTTTCTTGCTTTCAAGTCAACTTTGATCTTCAAAAATTTAGATGTAATGTCAATTGTTATCTTTTGTCTTCATAGTTCTTGTTTTTTTATTGATCTCTCTCATCAATAATGTTTTGCTTTTTTTCTCATTCTTTCACACTCAGTAACTCATTATGTCTTAGTGGCTTTATTGCCTTGCTTGGGGTGAGATGGTAAATAATAAATCAGAAATCACATATATACAATAAAATTATTAAATCAAAATTATGTTAATAACCATGTCCACCAATGGATTTATTGATTCATACTTATCCAAAGGCAACAAGATCAAAATAATCTCACTTATGTATGGGATAACATTTTTCTTTTTTAAATTGATTTCCAATAAATGTAGAACTTACTTCAAATTTTTCACTTTAATATTTTTTAATCAAGTATCTATTTTGACACTTACTTAAGAGCTCCAAGGTCAAAGTGGAATCATTTTTTGTTGGACCCCAGGTTTATAGTCAGTATATTTACATTTGTTTAACTTCAGAGAAATACATCATATTTATGCTGTTCTATACTTGATATGCTCCATTCAAGATTGGTTAAAAAAAGAAAAAAAAAATTAACTCTTACAGAATTCAGAAGAACATTAAAATTGTTGATGTATTTGAGGAGATGAGTAAATACTGGTATGGGGTCATAATTGAGAGGAATAGGTTCAGTTAGCTAAAAACTGCCCGTGATTGAGAGGACACTTTTGACAAAGAATTTTATTTTATTGAAGATCTGTTAAAATAATATAATTTTTCTCCAAACACGTCATCTTAGCATAGAATTTTAAATCAGATCAAATTTATTAGCACTTAATTACCAAGTATTATTATAAAAGTAGTATTGTGATAAAAATTAACAAATATTTCAATTAACTGCCATTAAATTATTTGGTGGTGTGGAGGGGGCAACAGAGTTTACTGTTCAATCTTCTTAATGTCATGAGTATGGTTTTGTTATTTTTTCTTATTTATCTAAAAATCCCATTCAATTTTTCTGAAATGCCTGTCCATGTTATCCCCACCCACCGCTTTTTTTTTTCCTTTTTAAAAATAATTAACAGAAGTTAGATCCTCTGAAACAACACTTACTTGTTGCCTGTAGGGGGTGATTTCAGGTTCAGATTCATTGTCCTCCTCATCGTCTCCAACTTCTTGCACTCTACGTTGGAATTCATCCTCTAAACACAACTTTTTCAATCGATCTTCCTCCTGGGGTGAGCGATATTTCTTCTCCGAAAGTTTCCGAATCTCAGTTTCCCGGATCCGATTCATATTAATTTCCTCTTGTTTGATGATTTTAGTTTTCTCCTCCCGCTCCCAGACACTGGCACCAGATAAATTGACAGGTGGCTGTGGTGGAGACACATTCGGCTGTGGGTATAACATCCTCTGGTCCTGGTCTGAATCAACTTCATGACGAGAATTTGAAACAAGTTGGTAGCCAGGTGATCCTTGGGTTTCAGTTGATCTTCTCTCATACGAGTGACCTTCATAATTATTTATTTGAGCAGGGTACCCTTTGTAATTATTTTGATCTGGAGGTGGCAGTGTAGGTCTGTAGCTTTCTGTGTACTCTGGACCTCTCTGACCAAGATTTCCTAACTTATAGTTTTGTGTTGAAGGACCAAAATCATTAGGACTATTATACCTGCGGTTTGCCTGCTGCCAGTTTTGGTTTTCTGAATGATAAGCAACTCTGAAATCTTGAGGTGGTGGCAGCATCTCTTGTAGGTCTTCAGGTGCAGGGGGAGGGGGAAGATCTGGTGGAATTTCAGGAGGGGGCGGAAGATCCGAATGATCCAGCTCTGGCAAACCAAGTTTTTCTCTTCTTTCTGTCATGTCAGGACCTTTGAATTTCTCAGCTGTTTGTGGTGCCATCATCGGTAGAGACTGAACATGTTTCTGTTGCTGAGCATAACGGACATTGTAAATATTCTGTGCTGGAATTTGTGGCTGCGGCTGAATTGGACGATTATCATGGACATTTACCCTAGGTATATCATTTATTGGGGGTCCCTTGTCAACAGATTTCAGGCTGACAGTTTTAGGTGGAACTGCAGGCTTTTTCATAGCTTCTTGCTCTCCTGGTCGCTGTAGTTGGTGAAATGGTGGGGCTGGTTCTTGGATCCTCTGCTTTGTTTTCTCATAAAAGTGTTGCTGACGAGCCTGGTTATTGACCGATGCTTTTGGTATATCATTATTAATTTCTCGAGATTCTGCTGAAATCTTTGCATAGTGGGAAGTGACAGACTTCTGTTCAGGAGATTCCATATACGGCGGATACTTTGGCTGCTCCAAGGTTCCAGAACTGTTATAGGAATTATTTGAATAGTCTACATCATGCTTTGCTTGCCATTCACGAACTTTATCAGCACTAATGTCATCCGAATGGGGGCGTAACTGTCCATTACTAAATTCTGGTCGATCATGTGAACCAGACGAAGTTGCCATGGAATAAGGATAGTCATCTTTGGGCAGACTGGATGCTGGCGATTGATTCATTGCTGATGGATGATTTGTCATTGGTTTCTGTTGGTAAGATGGAATTGGGCTTGGAGTGTAGTTACTGCCTCTGTCTGGATGACTGTAATTATTTCGTTGGGGCTCTGTTCCTGAATGTTGGTATCTTCCAGGTTCTGATTTGTTATAGTTCATATGTCTGACATTTTCTTGTCCTCTTGGATGTTGCTCAATGTATCTGTTACTTTCAACCATTTTGGGATCTTGATCTAATGGTCTCTGCATTGGTCCAGCATAGCGTGAAGAATCAAGACTGATGTATGGTGGATGCTGGTCATAGACCTGCCTTGCATTGCCATTCGTGTAAGGTTGCAATGTAATCGACTGTTGTGGAGGAGTTGGTTCTGGCTGTGGTTGGCGATGGGGTGGTGATCTTTTGTTGGCAACCATCCTGTAGTCATCACCAGGAATGTTGGCACTGGGAGAAGAATTCCGAGCATTGGCTGAGATGGTACCATGCACATTCTGTTGTGGAGACAGAGGCTTCTGATACATAGCCATTTCTTCTTGGCGTAAATTTGATGTTGATCTTGATCTGGGATCTTCTCCACGTGGTGAGTGTTGGTTGTTTAAATGTGGTGGAGTTCTGTAGGGATCAGGATGTGGAAAGTTTGCAGATGGTTGACTGTTAGGAGCATATCTCGTGTTGTTTCGAGGATTTGGTCCAGGTCCTTCACCTAAGCAGAGAAAGAAAAAAAAAAAAAACACAAACAAATGAAACAACATTGTACACAAGGTTGTACATAAAAGGTATCCACAAATACATTTTAAAAGTAAAAATTTGCAACAAAATGCAAACACATTCTAAAATTATTTTAATGTTCACAAAGTCATCAAAAAAGTTGTTTTCTGGTATTGCATTTTAGGTAAATAAAAACATTTATGTCTTTGTAGAAACAGGTGATGACATTTCCTCCATACAGGTTTTTAGTAATTAACTGTTTTTTTTTTATATTATTTGCAATTGAAATGATGCATTTTGATTTGTTATTTGTGAAAATGGCAACACTCAGAAAAGATGTGAAACAAAGGATGATGGTTCATTACTGAACAGAGATAACGAATTCATAATGAAAGAATACAATGAATTATAACTCAACAGAATTTATGCAAATAAAGAGACACTTCAGTATTGTTCTCTTAACATTTCAATCACTCCCCTCAGACCTTTGTCAGTTAAAAAAAAAAAAAAAAATTGTGCAAACAGTAATTGCCTAATTGTATCTACAAGATAAAAACAAAACATGCTTTGAACAAAACAAGAACAACATGCTTGCATTATGTACAAATCAAAAGTAAACAACTGCCGAAAGCATTTTCAAGAGAAACCAACATAATTTACAACAAAAAAAAAAAAAAAAATGTAAGATCAAAATACAGTTTATATCTAAAAATTATAAAATTAACTGCTTTTAAAGAATTACATTCTAGAAGTTTAAAATGACTGGATAAAAAGTAGAATTTAAGTTTTTTTTTTTTTAAATTAAAATGTTGAAAAATATTGCACACACACTTAAATTTACTATCTGATTCACAGGAAAAATATTTTAAAATTTTCAACTTTATCCTTGTAACAAAAAAGATTCTAAAAAGGAATTATGACCAACTTTTATCATGATTGGCCATTGAGATGGGTAATATTCTTGCATTGGTCACTCAGAGTGAAGAGTAGAGTAATGTACCTTTTGATTTGATGTGTTAAACTAATAAAAACAATAAAGCCCAAACTAAACAGGTTGAAATAAAATTCTGGATATTTGGTGCTGTGAAAAGAGGGAAAATATAGAAAAAGTTTACAAAATTTATTCTTTAACATGCAATGAATGAAAGTAACCAATTGTTTACATGAGGGAGAAGTGTAAAAACAAGACAAAGAAAAGTTTGAGAAAATACACTAAAAAGCTTTTTCAAAATATTTTATTGGCTCCTAAGGACAAAAGGGAGAGATAACGTTTTTGTGCCACTTTGTTGATGAAAAGCAAAAAGACTCCAAAGTAAATCTTCATGTGCTGTGTGCAGACAGACTTACGAAAGTTTGGGACAGACCTCCATGATGTTGGTGGGACAAAACCCAGAAAACGCTTCGTAATATTGGGTGAGAAAGGTTTACCAATACCTATATTGGTCATGCTGCCACCAACGACGGCACTAACACCACTACAGAGGTTGGAATGGCTCAAGCTGCCAACAACCCCATTGCCAACCACCAGCGAGGAAGAAGTACTAAATGGCCTTGAACGTCTTGCAGAAAATTCCCTCCATTCTGCTTCCAAAACAAGATCTTTCACATTTTTCTGTCGATGGAGTTCCTGTGAACTCTCAGATTCTGACAGAGATCTATACCGATGGTCTGAAAAAATGGCCAGTTTCCAGTCATTTTCATTGGTGCATCACAAAGAAAGAAAGAAAAAGTAGGGAGGAGGAAGTATGTGCTAGGTCATCTAAATAATGAAAGATGTCAATTGGCACTTGGAGAATGTTGGAAATGAAAAGCTGTTATTAAAATATAAATCACTGGATGAGAGAAAATTAATAAAGGAATTCAAACAAACAGTACAAAAAATAGTGCAAAAATACACAGACAATATGTGTACAGAAATATATATAGACACAGTTTAGGGGTGGGGGAGAATGCATGCACTCACACAGAGTATCTCATTATTAGTGGCATTGTCTTATTAATACAACTTGAGAATACTTTATCAGAAATTCTTGTGGCTGGAAATGCTTTGGTTTTCACATTTTTATTTTAGAATACAGGCTATTTAATTTGTATAGAGCATCTATAAAATAGTGCAGCTTGGGAATGGAACCTAAGCATAAACACGATATCCCTTTACATTTCATAACACTGCTTATACATATACTGTAAAGGTAGTTTTATATAAAACTTAATAAATTTTGTGTACATACAGATACAGGTGAAAAGTGGTGAAATTAAGATTTCATGTTAAAATGATGTTCTGTAATTTTTGTACAGGTACAGAAAAAAAAGAAGAAAAAAGATCACTATTTACAAAAACATAAATGCAAGAATTTTTAACAATATCTTTACTGAGCACAAAACACCTTGGTAAGTAATCAATGAACAAAGGTGTTGCTGTGACAATCGTTAACAAAAAACCATGTGCAATCCTAGGCTATATAGCTGGACTTTCTGAAATTTTCCATTTGTTGATTTTAGAGGTTTTTTGATTTGGGATAAAGGATACTCAACCTGAATATGAAATAATTAGAAAATAAAAGATTAATTTGTTTAATGTGGACAATATCTGCACAGTTAGGTTGAATGCCTATTCATTCTGCACAAATATCCACAATAGCCATTTATATGAAATTTCTTGAATTTCAACATCGTAACCCACACTGTGAGTTTGAAGATTTAAAATGGGCTGTGAATGCCAAATTGATTAAGAGACATTTTTAATAACTGCCAAACTTGAAAAAGATAAAAAAAAAAGCACAGGTAATTGCAAAAAACAATCCTCCACTATCATTAAATGTGAAGAAGTTTGAAGATCCAGGATACTTAGCACCCAGAAATAAAACTAAGGGCTTTGAAATATGCATTGTAATCAAGAAACAGAGTTCAATCTAGGAGACATTTACCAGAAGCCTGATAAAGTATTTTGAGATTCTTACTTGTAGAGCTTCATGCAAAATTTGTTACAGACACATTGTTTTTGTTAACCATTGTAACAATTGCAGAGCTGTTTCAACAGAATGTTACAAAACAATTGAACACAAACATATAGTACAAAGCCTATTGATAGGCTGACTCAGTAAAAGTGAGTACCAATGAGTAATAGTTGTGCACACATTCCAACTGACTGATACAATCACAGCATATACAGTCAGGGAAGTTTCTATCATATGAATTATACTTTTTAAGGTATGCCTTATTTATCAAAGAAAAGTGAATGTGTAAATATAAGCAATATGGACATAGGTATCAACATTGGATAGTAAAAATAATTTCTAAGCACACAAGCAAAAGTTCATGAAAAGTTTTTACATGAAGAATACACTTTCAAAAATAAAGAAACTTTTTTTATTAAATAAAAAAGATTCTACTATATAAGACCATTTTATAATTATCTAATGAAGAAACTGACTAATTAGAGATTTGTATAATCAATTCAATACATTATTTTTTTTTTTTTTTTTAAGAACAAAAAATATATTTTTAATAAATATTAATGATATGGGAAAATTAAGTTACATGCTTCATAGAAAATTTGTGATGTGTTTGAAGGAGTTCTACAGCTCAGAGAAATAATTTACTTCATTTCCCAACATCAAAAATGCTACCTCTTCATCATAACCTCCCTAGAATAAGTCTTAAAAAATTTTCACATGTATACTGTAGACAATATATACTTTTGAGACAATTTATGTCCAACCACCCATCAAATTTTCCAAGTCAAAACTGGGTGTGCCCCTGATGCCATGATCTCTCAACACTGGTAAATATAGTATCAGAATTTGTATAGGTGTCTACTAGAATATATATTTTTGAATGTATTTGTTAATCCCATATTTCTTTAAAAAAAAAAAAAAATCATTTAACTTTCATATATATATATATCGAGAGAGAGAGAGGGGGGGTAATAATCAGTAGGTATATAATCCAAGTGAATCCTAATTATATATGTCAGTATATATGTGGGCTAAAATAGCTATTTGAATGAGGTAATTTTAGAATTCTATCCTATGTATTATATATATATATATATATATATATATATATATATATATATATATATATATATATATATATATATATATATATATATATACATACGAATTAATGCATTCATTTTTAATCATACTTTTTTTATTACTTCAAATATTATTTAGTGGATATTCATATTTAAAATAGATGCCCAATTTTTATTTTAAACTGTGTGTATTATGCCTATTGGCCTGCATATTCATTGTAGGAGAAAATACTGTTTGACCCAGCATGCTTTACTGCTCAGTTAAAAAAGTGCATTTTTCTTTAATGAGATTTCTTAAATGTACAGACCGATAGATATAATATACACTATTTACAACAAGAATAAAAATGGAGCACCTATTTCAAATAAAAGTATTCACTAAAAATAACGTTTGAAGTAAGTAATCATAATAATAATGTCTCCTACTTCTATCTTGAACCAGTTTAAAATGAAAATCAACAGGTGATTTCTAAATTTTTTTTTTATAAAAGTATCAACAATTGAAATTAAGTTACCAAATTATTATTTCTCACAATTGTTTTAATCATTTGTTGTACATGATTGCGTAACTAAGAAAGAATAATAAAGGATACAAGAGCCAACATTTTAAAACATTACAAATAGAAAAAGAAAAAAAGATTCAGTATTATTGATATGTCAACTGCATTGAGAATTTACTTTTTCTCAGTAATTGCATTTATTGCAAAAAAAAAAAAAAAAAAAAAAAAATAAAAAATAAATAAAGGGTGAAAACGTTGTGTATCTTTTCATAGAAAAAAACAAAACGTCTTTAGATTTTAATATATATTTAAGTGTTTTAAATGTTTGACAAGGAAAAGGAATACATTTACTTTTTAAAAGAAAGACATGGGAAGTTTTAATGTTTGGGTAGTTTAGGAAGAGAAAAAAATAAAAGATTAGAACACTTACTATTTGGGGAGGGAGAAGATTGAGGACCTGGATGTGAATATGGAGGTCGAGACTCATTCATGAGGGGTTGTTGGCGAGGCAAGCTATTATCACGAAAATCTGGCTTGGGTCTACTCTGTGGTCGTTCACTTTCTCTGGCAGGACCATTGAAGAGATTTTCTTCACTACGAGGATGGGTTTTCATTGAAGCTTCTTGCTGCATAAGAGCAGTCTTCTTTGGTCCATTGGCTGAAGAAAAAGAAATGTTTCAGGTTTAATTGCACAATGAGCCAAGCAAATTGAACACAGTTGCACTAAAAACTGAAGGTAAAACAAGCTTAAAAGCCATCCTATCAGGTGGCATTTAAACTAACACCTGCAGAGGGCTCTTGATTGAGCCTTCATCATAATAGGGAGGAGTAGATGCAATATGCAACAATAAACTACAAAAGAACTCAAAACTGATCACTGCATTTAAGTAGGTATGTCCAACTTTTTTACTAAAAAAGTGACATACTCTGATGAAAAAGGTTACAAAAAAGTTTATGCTATTAATTAGAAGAGAGAGCAAAGTATTCTTTAATTATTTAAAGAAATTTTTTATTCCTTTCTAGCATGTTTAAAATCTCTGTTGAAAAAAAATTTTTTTTTTTTTTTTTAGGTCAGGTCACCTAATATTTAGCATTAGGTTTTTTAGCGCATTTTTCAGTTGAAATGTGGAAATTATTGCAAAAATCAATTGTTGGAATTTAATAAAACTTTCAGAACTTATTAAAAAAAATGAATGAATTTATTTTTAGAAATGTTTGTTTCTTCTTTTCTTTTTTTTTAGAAAGTAATGGTAAATTTTTTTTTTTTTTTTTACATCTGTTACCCCACTTAATTTTATGAAAACTTTAAAACTAGTAACTTTGTAACTCTGTAATTTAATGAAGAAGTTTGAGGAACATAAATCATTAATTTTTTTGTAAAATTTTACTCACAACAACCCAAACTTTAGCTCCGAATTTAAAATACAAAACTCAATAAAACTAAGACATTATTTAATTAAAAAAGCTTTTAATGGATTTTATGAATAATATATCTTAAGGAAGTTTTTGTCTGAAGCCAAAATTTTTTTGGTTGAAAAATGAATTTTTACAAGAATTGTTTTCTTTTTTTCAATTATAAATAAAAAGTGATAAAATTGATAATTGTTTTAAAATTAAATTTGAAACTGTAAAACTCTGGAAATTCTCTTAAAAACGGTCTATTTTTACAGATCATAAATTAGAAAGCTTATTAAAATCTATTACATGCATCTAGTTTTAAAATAATTTTTTATTATACCACAAAATGTATTAAAATCATCTTCAACAAAACTATGGATGCACATTTCTGAAAAAAAAAAAAAAAAAAAAAAAAAATCATGTGTGCTAGTTATTTCGCTTAAAATTAGCACAAATTTTGTCACTTCTGTTCTACCATTCAATAAATTCCCTTGATGTAAGTTATCAATACATTGATGTACATCAATCACACCTCTCAAAACCAATCACCATGTTTGGACATGTCTCTCTAAAAAAATTTTCTGCTAAGAAAGTAAGTAATGTTTTTCAACTACATTAAGTATACTTTAAATTTTCTAATTTTTCTAAAATAACTTTTGAAAAAAGTATAATTGAATTTAACAAATTTTAAAATGGGGAATTTCACTTTTGTTTATTAAACTGTCAATAATGGAACACATGATTGATTTTACGTCAGTTGTGATGACTCAAAAGAATAGAAAAAAAAGAAAAACTATTTTTAGCTAAAATTTCGGATGTGCTACAAAGGATTAAAAAAAATTGGTAAATTTGCTTTTTGATGTCCGTGCGCTAAATATCTCTTAAAATTTTCTCAAATCGTCATAATTCCGTGTAAATGTATGGTTATTTTTAATTTGTCAATTTTGTTTTATTTGTTTGTTTTAATTTTATGTTAAACTACACTTATCCAAAAAAAAAAAAAAAAATTACATTCCTTTACGGTAGTGTGTATTGATTTCAGAAACGAACTTATGTAAAGGAAGTAAATAGGCCCAAATTTAAGGTTGCGCCACCGGATGTACTCGACACTGAATTAGTGAACATTATAGCAGTAATGGGGGACGAACGACCAACAAGAAGTCCGATTTTTTTTCTTGTCAATAACTCCAAAAACGGTAGGTTTCTTCATAATTTAATTTTTAATTTGAGTTCAGTATGAACATTTACACGGAATTGTGACGATTTGGAAAAATTTTAAGATTAAGAGAGTTTGGGGCTTTTTTTTTTTTCATCAGGGTATGGTCTTTTTTAATGAATTTTTGGCCATTCCTCGTTTAATTATTCCATTAATATTTAACCATACCGTTTAAAAGTTCAATGATGGAGATGAACTATTGAGAGTTATGTCCCTTTAATTAAAAAAAAAACAAAAACCTGTGACACTGACATTTATCTTGTATATAAAGAGAAAGGACAAGACAGATTACGAATCCACCGTTCCTTAGCATTTACTTTTTTTTTTTTTTTTTTTAAAGTGCTCGATATAACAGAAAAATATAATAATATTTTTTATTATAAAATATTTTACATCGTTACACAAAAAATTCTGTTTCGGAACTTAAAAATTGTTGGGTAACTTATGATGAAAATGATTTACTTGTGAAATCTGAAAACAATTCGGTAGCTTATTTGAGATTTTTACTCTTAAATAAGCTACTGAATAAATTTCCTGGGAAATTGCGATCACTAGTAGTAATACAAAATGTCTAAATGTAAAGCATACACAGTAAAAGGAAAAATAACACAAATAAGAGAGTGAGAGAAAGAGATGCAATCATTAATTTTGACTCATATTTACTTTAAATTTTTTTTTTTTTTATTAAAATATAAATTACTGCTACTACTACTGTAAAAAGAAAATCAAATATGGAACTGAAAAAGATTGTAGAATGAAATGATAGGTTTAAAGGTCAGATTTGTTTTTCAAATTATAAAATTTTCACAGTGATTAGTGGTTAAAGCAATTGAGTATTTCTCAGGCTTGCCCATGGCAAAATGGGCAGGAGTTTGTATCTAACTAAGAGCTCTTATTATGTTTCATCTATTTACTCCCATAGAATAACTGATCTGAATAAAGTGGCAATAAACAAAAACTAAAAATTAAGATAAAAGTAAATATCAATCAAAATGTTTGCCAATATTTTACCTATAAAAAAAACAAAACAAAAAAATAATATATGGTAATACCTAAAATTTCAGGGAATTTAACAATAAAATAAAAAAGGAAAAATTTTACCTAGTTTCCATCATTTCCTTTGCAGAAAATGGTGGAAAATAGTATGCTAAAAAAAAAAAAAAAAAAAAAAAAAAATTAAAAGAAAATGAAATGGGTAATACGCATTTTCATATGTTTATCATCTCCATCCATTTTAAGTTTCATAATTTTAAATTTATCAAAATATCATTCCAATAATACAACATTTTGAAGATTTGAAATATGCCTTACAAGCATTAATGGTAATATTTGAATCCACAGGTGACTTGTACAGCTTTTCTTTTTTTTATTCATTTTTTTCATACATTTTCTTTTTTAAATCATTGAAATAATCAAGTCATCACAAAATAATGGGTTTGTGTAAAAAGCTTACAAACTCAGTTTATAGCATTCATTTTGTTATTATAACCACATTAAAAAAAAAAAAAAAAAACACTAAAAATATAGTTTTATAAAAGCTATTCTTAAATGCGCTTTCTATTTATAAAGAGATGATTTCTCAATAAAAAAAAAAAAAGAAAAAAAAAGATTAACAACCTCTTTGCATCGTAGGAGATGGTTGGCTGAGTAATGTGGCTAAACCATGGTAAATGGCACCTTGTTTAGAAACTTTCAAGCAAACTACATTGCCAGTTTTTGTCATCAGATTTGCTGCCCTGAAAAAAAAAAAAAAAAAAAAAAAGGGGGGTCAAATGTTAATAATTATACAACATTTATAAATAATAATAAAAAAAAAAAAAAATTGATTATTATTTTTTTTTTAAAAAATGTAATTTTAATATATATATATATATATATATATATATATATATATATATATATATATATATATATATATATGTGTGTGTGTGTGTGTGTGTCAGTGGTGTATTATGGGCAATCTTAAACCAATTATACCAAAATAACTGTTAGAATAGACTACAATAACCAATCCAAAAATTGGACGTAAAAATAGCTATAACTGCTATATAACAATAAAAAAAAAAACATTCCTATGTTACTCAAAAAACGAAAAGCAAATAGAGTAAACAAAAATATACAAAATAAAAGTAAGTAAATGAATAAAAAACAAATACAAATTAATCCAAATAAATAAATCATCCCTGCTAAAATAACCATTAGAACTAATAAAAATAAGCATAAATAAGCAAAAACAGGTAAAAATAATAAATCCAAATAAATAATTAAGTGTCACCCTGCCAAAATAACAGAATAGACTATGGCAAGCAATCTAAACATTGAACAAATAAATAGCTTTAATTATCTTCCCAGACCAAAAACAATATTAAATAAGCAACCTAAGCATATCACACAAAATTTTTTTTACTATGTTAATGAAATATCAAAAACCGAAAAGGATAAATAAAACACAATAAAAATGAAAAACAAGCAAAATAACTTAACCCAAAGAAATAAATAAGCCACTCCCACAAAAATAACTGCCAGAATAGATTACCCACAATGCACCACTGACCCATATGTATAGATAGTTGAGGAAAAATCCAACATTTGCGGCCTGATGATTGCATCTAGTACAGCCTGTCGCCTCTGAGTGTTGACTTCAATGTTCACTTTTATATTTACATATGTTCTATCTCTGATGTTGAGCACTTTATCCCATAAATATAGCACACCTTAAAACTATATTTCATATATATCTTACTTATTATAAAACGCAGGTTGTGTGTGTGTGTGTGTGTGTGTGTGTGTCTGTAACGTTTATATGTTGGATCGAATTTCCTACATTTTTTAGCCGATTTCAACAAAACTTCACAGGACTACATAAAATTACCTTGTGGTGGTTCTTGGGGGCGAAAATGGGAAAAATACAGTTGTTTTTTAATAAAATCAATTTGAAAACACGATTAAGACACATTGTGAGAATGGAAGGGGGACAACTCACCCACGAAAATGTAAACAAAAGAGCATAGCATGATGAAAAAGACGCCGAACTTGACGAAAACAAAATTTTATCATCTAATGTTCATATTATTAAAGAGGAAAGATCAAAGTATTTTGGAGGTATTTTTTTACATTTTTTAATCATTCCTAGCACGTCCAAAATTTTCGTTAAAAATATTGTTTTTTTTTGGTAAAAAAAAAGGGCAGATAATCATTTTCAATCATTTTTTTCGATTTGATAAAAAAGATTAAAATCTTACTTTGATATTCTTTTAAAAGTCAATTATCATTTTTTCAAAACTGATTTTAATAAAAACAGATATTATACTGTTTATTTAAAATATTTTGAACCAAGCTTAACTTAGCTTCTGTGCGAAAAAATGTAATTTGAAAATAAAACAAAAGCAGGTCATAACCTTTCGCATCGCTGACGAAAAGGCACATTCATGACGTTTAGATAACTTACGGGAGGAGAATACTTTCTACGGATGGAAGGAAGTGAAATTATTTAAGTGAACAAATTATTTACCTTGTTACTTTTAAGGAAAACTTTCAGCGCTCTAATTTTTTTTTTTTTATTTATTTTTTTTTTTTTTTACTTAGCTTTCATTTTTATGTTTACGATGCTTTATGGAAAATATAAAGAAATTAAAAAAAATAAGACTGTTAATAGTGAGATTAAATTTCATAAGAAAAAAAGGTATCTAATTAATTTAGGTACCCTCTCTTATGAAATTTTATCAGAAGTAATACATAAAATACTATAATTTTATGTACATTTATTACATTTACTGTGTTATTTGTATTTCCATTCATTTTATTATTAATTTTGATATTTCATTTATGGAAAAATGTCATAACTGAGATTAATATAAAAATAAGATCATATAAATTAAAGTTTAGCAGTAGTTAAATTTCATAAGATGATACTGTTACTTGTAGGTACCCTTCTCAGTTGAAATTGAAAACTCAAATTAACTTCTCCATACGTGTTTCGTTTAAAAGTAAAGGGCTTAACAGCTGAGAACAATGCTGAACTCAAATCATGCAACTAAATTGTATTCTGGTTGGTCTTCCGTACTTGATAATTACTGTCTGACTATAAACACAAAAGTTACATTTCTTAATTACCATGGGTAATCTGATTGGTCCAAATAATACAATTTTCAAAGCGCTAGACAATGACAATCTCACACGGACATTTTGAAAGGTTGATGTTGCTTTTAACTAATGTTAAAATATTTTTTAAAATTCAATTTAAACATTTTTAAAAATCTTTTTAAAATTAAAGAAATAAGAAATAATTGTATTAAAATTCAATTTTCATTGAAAAAAATTTTTGCTTTCAGAAAATATTGTCCATATTCATAAAAACAAATTAAAACAAATAAAAGCATTTGAAACTAAATAATATATTTGTTTTATTGAGTTTTGTATGTTACAATTTACAGCTGATTTTCAGGTATGTTGGCCAAAAAAAAAAAAAAAAAAAAAACATGATTTGCATTCTTCAAAGCCTTGTGCTTTTAACTATTGTAATCACTAAAACTGATGGTCTCGAATTTCTAGAGTTTTTCATAAAATTAGTTATGGGGTGTTAATAAAATAAAAAAAAAATTTCTGCCATGACTTTAATAAAAAAAAAAAAATATTTATAATAATTTCGATCATCTGTGAATACTTTCTGAAAGTTTTCATTAACATCTGACAATTATTTTTATTTTGCAAGATTTTCCAAATTAATGTGTAAAAATACAAAAAAATCCGCTAAAAATTATCTATGTTATTTACTACCCCTTGTTGCGACAAAGAGAAACATGGTTTTTTTAAATCAAAATTTGGAATATTCTAAAAAGATGGAAAAATTTTAAAAAAAAATAAATAAAAAAAAATTTAGTCTATCCTCTTCATAAAAAAATAAGCATTTTGACGATAAAATTTTGTTTTCATAAACTTTGGCGTTTTTTTTCATCAGACTATGCTTTATGTTTTTAGCGATTCCGTGGAGTGACTTAGGTTAAAAACCCAGGTTTGTGTGTGTGTGTGTGTGTGTGTGTGTGTGTTCCTTTATATATGGGATTGGATTTCTTACATTTTCAGCCAATAAAACAAACATCCACTTTTTTTTCGGCAGGTAGTATTTCTTATTGTCTTGCACATTTTTTTCTTTATTTACATTCAGAATGCTTTAAAAATTCCATTTACAAGACAATTGTTTATAATAAAATTCTATTCACCAATCGATAGACTCATAACGATTATAAATAATGTTTTTGTTTGAATTTGGGTTTGACCAAAAAAAAAAAAAAAAAAAAAAAAAAAAAAAAAAAACTTATTAAGAGACATCTCGTGTCCGTCAACCTTAAACAATAATCTTTGTCAATTTTATTTTTCAGTCTTTATGATGGTTGATACTTGATCTATCTCTTATTTGTTACATCCCCGGCAACGCCGGGCTCTACTATGTTAGTATATATATATATATATATATATATATATATATATTTATTGGAAAGCACTCAATATCATTTGTTAGAGCTAACATATTTAGTTGGATTGGCATGACCCTGGGTTTCACGCTATTTGTGATCGTCAGACAAACTATATAATATATATATATATTATATATATATATATATATATATATATATATATATATATATATATTATATAATATATATAAAAATAAAAAAATTTGTCTTTATCTGACATCTCTATTAAAATTAATCATTAAAGCCAAAGTTATTTTTATGTTAATTTTACAAAATTAGTTCTATAAATTTTGTAACATGAATTTGTTCTCTATCGAGGACAAGTTCTGTCCCCTTAACTATTGAATTTGAATTACACAAAATGCAGTCCACCTATGGCAGGCGTCGGCAACCCTCGGCCACAGGGCCACATCCAGTTCGAAGAATTTTTGTCCAGCCCACCAACTTAACACCTGGACACTAATTAACTGATTAATTTGTGGAGCAAGTGACAGAAAAATATTAGTTGGAGTTAATCAACAGACAATGCAATGAATTTCTTAAATCAAAATTTAATTCTGAATCTACTGCTGGCTTCTACAAGAAATATCTTTTATCAAGGGGGGGGGAATTTAAAAGCCTATTGAATAATACGAAAATGATGGTATCATATGCTTATGAACAACTTTTTCGAAAATTAAATATACTAAAAGTCCTTTCGGAACAAGGTTGGGTGATGACCACCTGGATGCTGTTTTGCTTATCATTCACAAGTATTTCACCCGATGCGGAGAAGTTATTGAACAATAAGCAGAAACATGTCTCATTGTATTTCTAACTATATATATTTTGTAGTAGGGAATTTGCATTTTATTTTTGTTGATTGTGTTAGTTGTTATCCTGTTATTCCTGCAGTAAAATAAAGAACCTTATTTAATATAACATTAACTTCATTTTTTTTTCTTCAAACTTCCAGACTAAAGGCAAAAATATTTTCCTGAATGGAGACACTTTATTATAGTACATTTGATATCATGGCCCTCGTCAGAAACACTGCATAGTTTTCTGACCCACTCTCAAAAGGTTGCTGACCACTGACCTACAATGTTTAAAGTTAGTACATTACATATTGTTCATGAATTTGAGACCATGAATTCAACATCTGGACACTAATTATCTAATTAATTTGTGGAGCAAGTGTCAGAAAAATATTAGTTGGAGTTAAGTGACTTTCAACTAAGATCAACCAATAATAAATTGGTTCCTCAGTGGAGTCACATATTCAATAACCTTGAAGTAAATTTAGTCTAAAAAAAAAAAAAAAAAACCAAAACAAAACACAAAAGCAGTAAAAGCAACAGCTTAAATTAAAAAAAATGCTCATTACATGTAGAGATAATTGCACAATAAATTATAAGGGTATTTCTTACTTTTCCTGGCTTAGCCCAACCAGACTACGGCCATCCACTTCTAGCAATTGATCCCCAGCCTGAAGTCTACCATCCTAAAATAGCAACAGGAAAATATCATTTGCAAAGGGCATTAAATAAATAAAAAAAAAATAAAAAAATTAATTAGTGGATTAACAACCAATTTCATAATGCTACAAATAGACAAGTGGCTGAAACTTATTTAATAGAGAAACAATTGTGGTTTCTTTTTTTTAAATTAGGAATCTTCATTTTTAGTCAAGTAAATTCTTTGCAGTCATCACATTTAATATGTAAATATTAACTTTTTTAAATATTTAAAGAAGTCAGATACTATATTATATTGGAAAACATCATTAATCGTTAAATTTAAATCTGAGAAAATAAAGGGAAAAAACTTACCAAAGCTGCAGCACCTCCAGGAACAACAGATTTGATGTAAATTCCTCGTGACATCTGACCATCACCCTGAAAAAAAAAAAAATGAATTAATGTAGAAAAAATACAATTATATCCCAAAAGAAGTAAATAGGATAAAAGACAACTTTGATTTAAACCAAGAGAATTTTCCAATTAGAGCAAAAAGATCGGGGGGGGGGGGGTGATTGTAAATCTTCAAATTATGAACCTCCCCATTATTTCAGAGAACCAAATAAATTAAGATTGAAATTTTTGAAAGATTAGAATCATTTTGAGAATTAAATATCTTAATTTAGTTTTAACCAACATATTTAAAGAAAAGATACAAATTTGATTATGCAGAGGAAGAAATGATTGGATTTTTTATTTTTTTAAACTATGAACTGTAAAATTTAATTTTCAGTATTTGGATCAGATCCACTTTTTTATGAAGCAAAAACAAAATTATAATTTCAGAATTCTTAAGTTCTTATTTTTATTCAATTTAGGTGACTAACTATATTTTAATGATTGTCATAAATAAAAAAAAAAAAAAAAAAAATCAAAGAAAAAAACATGAGTTTAAATGCCAACAATCTGAAGAAAATTTTAACTAGTTTAGAATGAAAATGCAATTTTTTTAGCAATTAAAAGAAATAATAAACACATGCATGTTTTTTTTTTGTTTTTTACATAAAAACATCTACATTGAAAAGATACGATACTAAAGTTGGAATGAAGAAAAATAGCAGAAAAATGTGAAAATAAAAAAAATCAAGCAAAAGAATTTAAAAAATTAAGAGAGATTAGAAATATGGAAGTAATAAGAAACCCATCAACTGCAGTTGTACTGATAATTCAGCTATATTATTGGGCATTTTATTTTTGTTTTAAATAGTTTAATTCCTAAAATTTTATAGAATTTCAAATTCTATTTGACGTTATTTTATTTTACTAAAAGAAATTAGTGAATCATCATTGACAAAACAGTATCACTTCTGTTAGAATTTAAATCATATTCTACTCTCAAAGATATGAAATAATTTTCAGAAATAGAAGCAGATGAAGTTAGGCAAAATATTAAGGAGAGAAAAGAAATTACAATTTACATATAATATCAAGTTGCAGACATGCAAACAGTTTATTTTATATATATGAATAAATTTTGCATATATTGCTTTTTATTAATACCATGTAACAATTTTAGTTACACAATGTTGTCTTTTCAAAAGTAAAGAGTAATTGAATAATTGTTCTAAGAACATTTAAAACTGATAAAGTTATGAAAATAATTATTTTGCTAAAAAAAAAAAAAAAAAAAAGTTACAGAAAGAAAAAATCAAAATGTATGATTCAACAAATTTGATCTGCAGTTTTATTAAAAGAAAAGTGATAGACCTAACAAAATGAATGATGGTATATGTATTTTATTGCCTTAAATCAAAAGATAAGAACTTTGGTACTGAGCTAAAGTCATGAAGTGACAAGTATCATTTTCCTTTTCTATTTAAGAGAAAAGGAACAAGATCTTTGCCTTGTAAATATTCAAAGGATAGATTTTGGTAGTAGTGTTAAAAAAAAAAATTATCATTGAAGAAATTAAATTTTGTTAGATAAGAGTCTGAAATGAATAAAACCTAATCATTGAAGTGGAAATCAAAATGCAAACGGAATACAAGTCACAGTGTGCAACTAAAAAGAAAAGAGTAAAAGACTAAAAATGGTTGAAATATTCTTTAGTAAATAAAACACTGAAAATAATTGATAACAGAAAGAATATATGAAAGAAGAATGAATTGAAAATACACATTCAAGGCATGTCTACATAATGTCTTTCTAAAGTGAAGATACTATTAATTTGTAATGATATATTCATTTTGCCCTCAGGTAAGACAGAAGGACGTCACCATAGGCAACGATTTGTATTCTGACTCGAGTGCATTTTGCTAGTCATTCCAAATTTGAAAAGATTTTATGAGAAGAACTTACCTTTTCAATATCATAATCTGGATCTTTTGTCTAATAAGAAATGAGAAAAATATTGAAGCAGCCCAAAAAAGTTGAACAGAAAATACACTAGATCAATGTAGGAATGGTAAATAGAAATGGGACATACAAACCGAATAACATCCCAATAAACCTTCAAAATGTTTCCTGCCTGCCAATCCTAGAAAGAAAATTTGTCCTTGTTGATGGTATCATGTTACTACCTGTTGCAGGACACTGGGAAAGGAAAGACATTGACAAGTAAATCTCCCTACTTGAAATCCTATCAAGTCCATTAGATGACAGCCTCACTCCAATACTCACAACAGACACTTAAGGAAGAAATAGTCCCAATGCAAAATACAAACTAAAACTTTGTGAAACCAGAAGATAAAACAAAAATAGAAATTTGAATGACTGATAAAGGATAAAGAAATTAACAGGATGTGATTTGGCCTACGAGTCAAGTGGTGTCATTATTACAACTTTCTTAATTTTGTATTTTTAAAATCTAATACTATAGCAGTATTAACCAATAATATATTTTAAATCATTTCAATTATCTTGCAGAAAGATGCCATCAATAAAATTGGAACAATTTCAGAAATCTAAATAACTTTCTAGGATTCAGACTTAACTGAAACATCTGCACAAAAATGAAGATTTTGGAACAAACAAGAAGAAATATTTTCAAATTTATTACCTTGAAAGGTAACAAATGGTTCCCAATTTTAAGAACATATCAGATTGAAAAATAACATTTACAATAAATGCTTGAATGAAAAACAAAAAGAAAAAATAGAAAAAAAAAGAGAAAATAGAAAAAAAAAGAGAAAATAGAAAAAAAAAGAGAAAATAGAAAAAAAAAGAAAAAAAAGAAAAAAAAAAAAAAGAAAAAAAAAAAAAAAAAAAAAAAAGAAAAAAAAAAAAAAAAAGAAAAAAGAAAAAAAAAAAAAAAGAAAAAAGAAAAAAAAAAAAAAAAAAAAAAAAAAAAAAAAAAAAAAAAAAAAAAAGAAAAAAAAAAAAAGAAAAAAAAAAAAAAAAAAAGAAAAAAAAAAAAAAAAAAGAAAAAAAAAAAAAAAAAAAAAAAAAAAAGAAAAAAAGAAAAAAAAAAAAGAAAAAAAAAAAAAGAAAAAAGATTTTGAGCAAAATGACACCAGCAATATGTCATCCTTTCTCTCAGTATTTTCCAGGTGAACAATAGACCCAAAATTATTTTCTCTACCAAAATTCTTAATTACACTAGATCTTCCCAGATAAACAGAATTACCTTAGAATATACATTTGTATATAAAGGATGAAAAGGTAATAAAAAAATTTAAGATTTCTAAAAAGGAAAAAAAAAAAACAAAGAAATTCAAATGCCAAAGAAGTTGTTGAAATGAACAAAACTTTACTAAATTCAAATTTAACTGCAGAAATGAAAAATAGTTTGATTACATTAAGATCACAGAAATCAATGTGTAAATGTCATTTATACTTTTATTTATACACTTCATCTCAAAAGATACAAGTTGACAAAGTAACTCCCGCAACCACTACAATTTTAACCATTTCAAAATGTATCCAGAGTCAGCTATTATTTGAGTGAACAATAGCTCAGTAGCTTGTCATAACATTTCAAACTATTCCCATTTATTGTCAAGAATAATTAATTAAAGATTACTGAACAAGAGTGCTAAAACAGGTCTCAAAAGTTAAAAATATGAGGTGCTGAAATCAGCATTTCAGTTTGACTAAACACTTCAAAACATTCATTTTTGAAAGTGGTTCATACCAAGAATGTTTACTCATCAAAAAAAAAAAAAAAAAAGTGTGTAATCATCATAATGAACAGAAAGATGACAAAGAAAAAATTGTGAAACTTACTTTTGCTGCTACAATGCTGAGTCCAATACTTCCTTTCACTTTTTCAAAACTGACCTCAACAATTTCTGGTTCTTTTGGTAGTTCTTCTGGACGAGATCCTTGGCCTGGGTGAGGAGATGCAACATCCTTGGGATGAAGCTGCCAACAATTCATGAAAGAGAAAGGAATTCTATGGATTAAAAAATGTCCTTATCAGAGAAGCTTTTAAAGTGTGACTGATTAACAGAAAAAAAGTAAATAGTTTTAAAAGTATACAGACTTAATTATAGCCTTCTCTCATAAAAAATACAGCAGTTTCCTTTTGCAGTCAAAAAAATAAAAAAAAAAAGAATTTAAATATTCTGAATCTATTATAGTCATTATAGTCACTTACAGAAATTAAAAAATTATACTTCAGATAGTTGAAAACGTTTTTCAGCTCCATTAAAATGTCTTGAATCGTAAGACTTTCTGAATTTTCTTTCTTTTGACAAATATTTTAGTCAAATTGTTTGAACCTTCATCTTGAAATTGAGAGAAAGAGAAAGAGAAAGGAGAGAAAGAGAAAGAGAGAGAGAAAGAGAAAAGATAGAGAGAGAGAAAGAGATAGAAAGAGAAAGAGAGAGAAAGAGAAAAGAGGAGGAGAGAGAAAAGAGAAAGAGAGAGAGAGAAAGAGAGAGAGAAAGAAAGAGAGAGAGAGAAAGAGAAAGAGAGAGAGAAAGAGAAAGGAGAGAGAAAGAAAGAAAGAGAGAAAAAGAGAAAAGGAGAGAGAAAGAAAGAGAGAGAGAAAGAGAAAAGAAAGGAGAGAAAGAGAAAAGAGAGAGAGAGAGAGAAAGAGAAAGGATAGAGAGAAAGGATAGAGAGAAAGAGAAAGGATAGAGAGAAAGAGAAAGGATAGAGAGAAAGAGAAAGGATAGAGAGAAAGAGAAAGGATAGAGAGAAAGAGAAAGGATAGAGAGAAAGAGAAAGGATAGAGAGAAAGAGAAAGGATAGAGAGAAAGAGAAAGGATAGAGAGAGAAAGAGAAAGGATAGAGAGAGAAAGAGAAAGGATAGAGAGAGAAAGAGAAAGGATAGAGAGAGAAAGAGAAAGGATAGAGAGAGAAAGAGAAAGGATAGAGAGAGAAAGAGAAAGGATAGAGAGAAAGAGAAAGAGAGAGAGAAAGAGAAAGGAGAGAGAGAAAGAGAGGAGAGAGAGAAAGAGAGAAAGAGAGAAAGAGAGAGAAAAAGAGAGAGAAAGAGAAAGAGAGAAAGAGAAAGAGAAAGGAGAAAAAGAGAAAGAGAGAAAGAGAGAAAGAGAGAGAGAGAGAAAAAGAGAAAGAGAGAAAGAGAAAGATAGAAAAGAGAAGAGAGAGAGAGAAAGAGAAGAGAGAGAGAGATAGAAAGAGAGAAAGAGAGAAGAGAGAAAGAGAGAGAGAAAGAGAAGAGAGAAGAGAGAAGAGAGAAGAGAGAGAAAGAGAGAGAGAGAGAAGAGAGAGAAAGAGAAGAGAGAGAGAAGAGAGAGAGAGAGAAAGAGAAGAAGAGAGAGAAAAGAGAAGAGAGAGAAGAAAGAGAAGAGAGAGAGAGAAAAGAGAGAGAAAGAGAAGAGAAGAGAGAGAGAGAGAAAAAGAGAAGAGAGAGAGAGAGAAAGAGAAGAGAGAGAGAGAGAGAAAGAGAAGAGAGAAAGAGATAGAAAGAGAAGAGGAGAGAAGAAGAGATAGAAAGAGAAGAGATAGAAAGAGAAGAGATAGAAAGAGAAGAGATAGAAAGAGAAGAGAGAGAGATAGAAAGAGAAGAGAGAGAGAGATAGAAAGAGAAGAGAGAGAGAGATAGAAAGAGAAGAGAGAGAGAGATAGAAAGAGAAGAGAGAGAGAGATAGAAAGAGAAGAGAGAGAGAGATAAAAAGAGAAGAGAGAGAGAAAGAAAAGAGAGAGAGAAAAAAGAGAAGAGAGATAGGAAAAAAGAGAGAGAGATAGAAAAAAGAGAGAGAGATAGAAAAAAGAGAGAGAGATAGAAAAAAGAGAGAGAGATAGAAAAAAGAGAGAGAGATAGAAAAAAGAGACTTAAAATTATTTGGTATTTTTAGCATTACAGATATCCCCAAGTATTTGACAAAATACCTTTTGGTTTGGCCAGTATTAACAAACACAAGATTTATTGATGAATGAGAGATTGTGAAGAGGCAAAACAAAACAGATCAGAAATTTATGTCAACATCAATAACTGATGATCAGATCAAATTTTGATAGGGGGCAGGAAACATATCCATTGTTATCAGGTACAGTCAGAAAAGGAAATTGAAGACAGCCAGAATTCCCCTTAGCCTAAAGGGTTTTTATGGTTGTTAAGTGGAATGACAAAAATAAAAAATAATTATGAATAGAAACAATTCTATCAAATGTATTAATTCAATTCAAAGTGACAATTCTATCAAATGTATTAATTCAATTCAAAGTGACAAATAATCAATCTTATCACCTGATTATCGTTATCAATGGTTACTGAAGTGTCTGTAAATAGTAGTTTGTAATGAAAGTAGAGGACACTGGATAATTTCAGCTGGCCATTTCTTTAGTGCAAAGAATTAAAGAATTGTAATTCTAATAATCAATTTGAAGATTAAAACTTTATTAGAGTATTCCTTTATTTTAATAAAAGTCTAAGTATTAAATTTCATTAATCAAAATTTCACAGTATAAAATTAGCCAATTTTTTATACAAGATGATCAGAAAATAAAAAAAAATAGCTTGTCAAACTTGATCAGTCAGGTAAGAGATACTGTTGTGATTCTTAGTGAAATACAAACAATTTGTGAAGTAAAAATGGGACAGTAACCAGTTTTACATGATGCAAAAAAAGAAAGAAAAAAGAAAAATGTCTTTTCATAATTATTAAAAAAAAAAAAAAAAAAAAAAACAAAAAAACAAAGAAAGAATTAAAACAGAAAATTAGAAATTAACTCTAGTTGTTCCTTTGTAGAATTATTTAAAAATGTAGATTAAAATATAGATTAAATTATCCTATTGTAATTACACTTGTCCCTTCCTTTGTTAGTTTACCCAACTATTGCATCATGCCATTACCTCATAAATAATGCACTATTCCCCTTTTAATCACATGGAAAGGGGAGAAAATACAGTATTTGGTTCCATTGAGAAAATGAAAGTAAAAAAAACGGGAAGATAGAAGTGGAAGGAGAGAGATTCAGATTTAGCTGATAAGAACTTTGATCTTAAGCTAAAAGACTGAAAAGCATTGGCGACCACAACAAAATGCCACACTCAATAGCTTAATTATTCTATTATAATTGTGCTTGTCCCTCCCTTCATTAGTTTGCACGACCGTCATACCCTGCCAATACCTCATAAACAATGGACTATTCTGTTTTGGTGCATAAGAAGATAAAAGACATCAAAGAAGCTACTTGGTTTCAGTCAGAAAATGAAAGAAAGGAAAGAAGTGTTTAATGTCTGTTTCAGTGAAATGGAAAAGTTGTTAGTTTCAAATCTTTTCTTTGTACCGGCTTAATTCTTAAAATAACAACCAGAATTCATATTTATGATTGTTATTGCAATATTTTGTTAAAGTTGTTAAGTTGAAATATTTAACAATGTGAAAGGAGAATTTCTACAGATGTTTTATTACTGTAGATCTCACCATGAGCTTATTCAGACATTAACTGAAGAATTAAGAAATTTCAATTTAAAAAACCTTGAAATTTTCATGGATTAAAACTAGTTTCAATAATTTTTTCCTATAAAATAATATTTATAACACTTGAAAATGATTTCCAAATTGAGGAATTATTATATAAACTAATTTATTCAAAATCTCACTGTATCTTGTTAAATTTACAACATTTCTAAGAGGAAGAATCATTATTATATATTGACTTACTTAAACTGGTGTCTTCTTCATCTTGGTTGTTATAGTCATAACATTCCCAAGACATTACCAAATATGAAAGGCATTGAAGAGAAAGGCTGGAGAGTACATTGACCAAAATATTTGGGACAATAACAATCAAAATTAGGACACCAGTTCAAGTAGCAGATAATAAAAATGATAATGTTAGAGTTCCTGATCATCTACAACTGTCCAATTTTACACAAAAGTAAACCTCATCAAGAATTACCAAATTAAAATACTTACCAAAAAAATAACAATTAAAAAATCAGCACTGAAAATGAACAGGACACAAGATCTCAAAACACAAAACAAAAATGACTTTTTCTCACCTCATTAAGCTTTGGTCCCTGTTGGTCTGGTCCTACCATATGGACAGTCCAGAGTCCTTTTGAATTTGGCTGGGGAATCAAACGACAGATTCCTGCTCGAGTAAAAGGGTCAATATATTCTGGGAGGCCATTGGGAACACCTCGAATGATATCACATGAATAGCCATCTTCAGGCAGAAGGAAAGGAAGCTGCAGATCTTTGTCTTCTTCCAAACGAATTTCACTGCCTTCCGATTGGGCCAACTCATCAGCCATATTTGTAGCGACTGCTACCACTTTATCAATCAACAACTGGGGAATATGTGGCTCATTATCTTCGGGGATGTAATGCTGCAAAAGAGCACGCACTTGGAGAGAGTTCAGCTTGAAGCAAGTGGAACTTATGTTGGCAATATCATCAGAATTGTTTTTTGGAGCCTGAAGAAGGTGGGCAGCCTGAAAAAAAAAAAAAAAAAAGCAAAATTTAAACTTTAAATTATTCATCATTATGATGGCAGCTTGTGTGTGTGTGTGTGTGTGTGTGTGATGAAATTATGATCAGTGAACAAAAATTTGACATTTGTTTCAAATCAAATTAATTCAACTTTAAATCAGCTAATCTTCCTCAAATAATGTTTTAGAAAAGTATATTTTAATTCTGAAAGATTTTTTAATAAAGTGAATTACATTGTGCTAAGAGATTTGTAAATATGGCTAAAATGAACCATTAGTGATTTAAAAAAAAAAAAAAATTAAAATAATTTCAATCAATTTAAATTTTATTTTTAAATACAGCAAAGTATTTCGCTCATTGGAAAAATTAACCCATTAGCTTGAAATTAAAACTAAAATAAAAGCTTCAAGAAAGATTTTTTTTTTTTGTTTTAATTTTTATTAAAATAAAAATTAATTTTAAACCTTAGGTGTCACTTTTCTTTGGAGGTAAGTAGGTAGGTAGGTGACTAAACTAATATATGAAAGAGTGTACTTATTTGGACCTGGGGAATTAAAGACAACTCTATTTAATCAAAATATGCTTTCATTAAAAGTTTTTAAATAAGTGTCCCAGGCACTAAATTGAGCATTGATTTCAAGGGATAGCTCTATGACTATATGTCATTGTTGCACTACTTACCTGTATAAAAGCCAAAATAGGGGAAATCCGTCACACAAGTGACATAAAATAATCTGTCAAAGTTCTGCTTCACTTAAACAATGTAAAGTAAAATAGCCAATGACGCCCTAGCCATTAGGTATTAAGTGGTATTGAGAGGGATTCAGGAGAGTTTCTTAGTTGAGGTGCCAGATCAGCAAGCAGAGACTTTGAAAGTGGCAATTGTGTGGTATACTCAGCCTGGAAGCCATATTGTTTGAGATAGCTGAGCTGCTTTTGCTGGAATCAAGGAAACCAACCAACTCTGATGATGACATGACTCATCAGCAGCATTTCCTGCCATACGTACTTGAAGTGTGGAAAATCTTTGGATATGTGTCAAGCATAAGTTGCATCAACAATTTGAAACTTCTGAGGTGTTGTTCATGTCACATCTTCAAATTTGTGTGGTGTCAGCAATCCAAGAACAGTCCAGTATTTATTTACTGCATAGTCCACCATTACCCATTGTAATAATGGGTAATTGTAATAAACATATATACTTTAGCCTTATTGATGTTACAGGGAATAGCAGTTTATTTTATGCTACTTAAGTGAAAGGGTTACTAAATTAAGTTATTAAGAGTTAAGTTAATAGTACTTTCACCATAATGGATCCAATTGAGGTTGAATCTGCCTGTACGTCCATGGTGCTTCTAACTTATGGAAGTTATTATCACTGCTATGTATTACTCAAAGTGTTCTATTTGATGAAGGATATAGAAGACAGAATATGGCCAAGAATATATAACATATTCCTCTAAAGCATTGGTTCCCAAACAATGTGGCATGCCTCATAAGGAGATAGTAGGTGAGGTAGAATGATTGAAAGACAATCAAAGATTTAGTAACACTTTCAAAAAATTCATATGCCAAAAATAAATATGATTTCAAAATTTAAAATATTATGGATTACTTGTAATTACATGCAGGAGTCCCAGTATAAATAGTTATAAATAATTATTGACTAGGTTTATCATTGTGTTATCAAGTATTAAGAATATAGTAACTAGGCTCTGCAAATTGGAGTTATCAATGATAATGTTCTGACTTCAAAACCACAGTTATCTCCCTTTAACCCTCTCTGTTTTTTAATTTTTAAATGTACTTATCACATAAAATTTGGTGAGGCATGAGAAGAAGGAAAAAAAAAAAGGTTTGGGAACCACTGCTCTAAAGCAACCACATTGCCTGTAGGTTTAAAGGTCTTAAGCAAATTTTTTTTTAACACCTTATACTGATTATTGACAGCTTATACAAAAAAAAAAAAAAAAAAAAAAAAAAAAAAAAAAAAGGTCAATATAAACATCAGAAAAAAACAACACAAACAGGAAAGAATTCCTTACTTGAATGATTCGGCACAGGTGGCAATCAGCAGCCAGCTCAAGTCCTTGCTTCTCTGCCCAAGCTTCAACACGCCCCAACCGACGCTTCAGCCTGATTCCCCATCGTCTTGTACACAATTTGAGATTTGATCTCTGGATGAGGATATTAAACAACCACATGTTTATGAAGTGAAAGAGTTGAGAGAACAGCTGAATGGTGAGTGCAGCATTCACTCGACATCGACGTAGAAGATTCATTGCAGCAGACAGTGTTCGCAAAACATCACCCAGGGTTGGTGACATTCTCTGAGTTCCTCGGCCCATATTCTCTGTATCAAAAGTAAGTTTTTTTTTTTAAAATTAAGAACGAACAATAATGATATTTCTTTTGATTTGCTGCAAACATTTATCTGAGGCCAAATGTAAACGAAGGTTTTTCTCAGGAAGATATCGTTTTTCTTAGTAGGTAAGCAATAATCTTTAACACAATCTTTTGTATCACAGATAAATTACTTGAGATTTTCTTAGTGTGTAATAGATTACTACTAATGATACTACTACTACTACTAATAATGTAAAGATGATACTACTACTACTACTACTACTGATGAGTATGAGCTGCAAATTTTTTTCCTTCCTTCAAATGAATTTCCTTGTCAACTGATCATCAAATTGGGGGAATATAGGATTTATTCTCTTCTGGAATATAAGGTTGTTGAGTCTTTTTTTTTTTGGTAAGTTTTTAAAGAAAACAGTAATATATATATATATATATATATATATATATATATATATATACACACATACATGTGTGTGTGTGTGTGTGTGTGTGTGTGTGTGTGTGTGTGTTTATAGAATCTTTTCCCTTGGAATGGTTGCTGGATATCTTTGCACTTTGTGAAATCAATTTAAATTCTTCCATTGCTATCAATTAATTCTCTGTTTGAGGCTATCTTCCACTTAGATGAAAAGGTTCCAGTATGCACATGCATGTTTACATCTAGGATAATCTTCCAATAGCAAAGGAATTATCACGGGAGTCCCCAGGCAACTCTTTCATGTTCTTTCGACTTTCATTATTATACTGTTAGCTATCACTTTTTTTTTTTTCCTTTATCCCCTCCCCAACCTTCTCAGGACTGCAGTATATTAGAAAAAAAATTTCTGACAGTATGGAAACGATGCCTTCTTCATTCATCTGCAAACATCTTTATTTTCAGTGCTTTTAACATACGTCACAATGCATGGCTTAAACATTTAAATGTTAGTGATGTTGTCAGTATTCAGACTTTCAATTTTTCAATTGCTCAAATCCCTTACACAAATCATAGATTTCCCTACTTATTTCCCAAACATATCTGAGCAACATGCTTCTTTACTAAATTTATCTCTTACCGGCTCTCCTAGTTCTTGCTGAATTTTACAACAGTCCTCTTGGCAACTCATATCACTATGTACTATCTAGTGATATTTTGTTCCAATCATCTATTAAAAACAAACCACCTATTTATAAGACTGCTTTCTGTTACCAGCGCTGACTGAGATTTACTCCTTTGGATTGATATTTTTGACCATCATATTGAGAATTGTACCATTGAATTTTCTCCTTGGGTCAAAGCCAGCATTAGATGCTTTCATTCCTTCTTGCAAATACCAGGTGAAACCTTAATCTCCATGGTTTACACCAGCATATTCTGCCACTAGAGCCCACAGGAACCACTATTTCCAGTTGTACCAGCATGACTGTTCTGACCACAATAGATGCCTATATGTGGCTGCACATAAATGTAAACCTGTCCTCAAATCCTTGTTTGTTGAGAAAATGAGGCACCATATTGCATCTAACAACTTTGGCTCTCATGATTACTGGCAACTCTGTAATAGTTCATTAAATAAGAGCAAGTTTTTTTTTATTCCTCCTCTCTTCAATCAATTTGAGGTGTTAACATCTGTTGATAAAGCATAATTTTGCACCAATAAATTCTGTTTAAACTCTATTGTTGACTCATCTGGAGAATCCTTGCCTAACTTTCCAATCAGAATTGAGTCTCTGTTGAGTGATATGCATATAATCCCTTCCATGGTTTCTGCTATCATCTCTAATCTGGATCCCCAACAAAGCATGTGGACCTGATGATATCACTGTAATAGTCCTTAAGAAGTGTGCTCCAAAACTGGATCCTGTTCTCTCTAAACTGTATAACTGTATAATAAATGCTTCACTGCTTCTTTCTTGTTGGAAATCCTCATCTGTTGTTCCACTCTTTAAGAACTCAAGTGAACTGTCTGATCCTACCAACTATTGTCCTTCTATCTCTTTTTGTTAAACTACTAGAGGCTCTAACCATCTCTGAATTGGTTAAACATCTGTTGTGGTAAAGCAATGACTCAAAATAGTGTCACATGTCCAACCTTCTCACGAGCAAAAAACAGTCCTCAGAAACAAAAACGCACCTGCTTTATACAGCCGAGGACCGACCATAATTTGCATGCGAATGACGAGACAACGAGATTCCGCGTTAGCTGTCCAAGACCGCCTGGCATAAAACATGGGCGCTGCCATTTTTTTTTTTTTACCGTTGAGCAATCGGAGTTTGCACGATGCACAGATTCGCAGGCATTTCCGAGGTAGACCATTTTCACAATTTTCCCCACAACATCTCACATTGCAGAGCCTTCTTTAAGATAAGCAATAGGACTTTCATTTCTCTAGGTCAATTACTGATGTAATAACAATTATTGTGGAAAGAGTCTATCAAGCTTTAGTTAAGAATGGTGAAGCTCAGACAGTTGCGCCGGACAGCTCAAAAGCATTCAGCAGATTTTGACATACAGGTCTTCTTCACAAATTGAAAAGTTACGGTTTCTCTAGACAAATATTTGAACTGATTCAGTCTTTCCTTTCAAATCATAAATTGAAACTTATCCTGAATGGCCATTCTTCTAGATCCTTTTGTACTAATGCAGGTGTTTTCCCAATGCTTTACTGTTGGTCCTACTTTATTTTTAATTTTCATTAACAACCTTCCCAATGGTATCAAGCTATCAACTTGGTATCTATGCTGATAAACATTTACTGCTGTCTCAATAGGAAGTCTCATCAGTTTATAAGATCAAATTGGTGGCCGACGTCTAAATGACCTTCAGTCCGTTAACTGGCACAAAGAATGGCTTGTTAATTTTAACACCTCCAAAACTAAATTGCTCTCTATTAATCATGAGAGAACCCCTTTCTGCCTTCCATCAGTATGGCTGTTGATAACCTCCAGGGGAGTAATTTGTGCCTTCTTAGGCTAACATTATCAGCTGACATGAAGTGGAAAGACTATATTGAATCAACTGCTAAGAAAGGTAGTTCACTGCATCATGCTAGACAATTTTTCTCTTCAGAATCTATCTTAGATATCTACGTCTACCATTCACCCATGCTTAGAATATTGCTGCCACATATGGTTCAGTGCTCCTGCTATATATTTAGAGATCCTTGATAAAATCCAAAGAATCATCATCAATATTATTGGTCCTGACCTGGCATCTCATCTTCAGTCACTTTGCCATTGCTGTAAAGTTGCTTCCTTGTGCCGTTTCTATAAATACTTTCATGGTAATTGTCTGGATGAGCTCTTTGCTAGAATAGCTAGACTATGAATTTAAGCACAGGACTAGACTGGTGATGAGGTCTCATCAATATACAGTTGAATTGGCTAGATGTAGCTGTAAGTTTTATGCTAATAATTTTTCTCACACTTCTCATTTCCAGACAAATTTGATCTTCAAAAATTTAAATGCAATGTAAATTGCTATCTATTGTCTTCTTGATTACTCTTCTATGTTCTTGCTCCTTAGCAATGTTTTTCTAATACTTCTATGCCCCCTTGTGTCTTAGTGGCTTTACTACATTGCTTGGGGTGAATTCGATTAAAATATATGAAATATTACTGAGAAAACTTTTATTTTTATATTTGTTTGGATCATTAATTTATTGAAATGTAGATTAGGTTTGATATTCTTTCATCATCAACTAGGTTATAACTTTTGGGGAGCACTTAACAAAATACTTATATACATACATACTACAAAATTCCATTTGTTTACTGCACAGTGAAACTCCATTAAATAATAGATTGTGGAAATATTACAATTTGGAAAATTAAATAAGGATGGTATTTTTATTAATGTTATGGTCAAAACACTCCAAAAATAAATGAACAGTTGATTTCTATATACAAACAAGCATATTATAATTAGTTTAATTATTTTCAGTATAACACTAAATTGACTTAATTCGACAGAATTGTTTCCCTTGAATTGAATTCTCACAAGCTTTATTTTTTTTAAACTAAATTGCAATGACATCATCTGTATTTTTATTCAGTGCAACATTATCAATCCTTATTAATTTTAATTAGTATTTACTTCAATCTTTTTATCACAACTCAAAATGTCAATCTAGAGCAGCAAGTAGACAGTACAGATCAAAAAAAGTATAAACTGATTCAGACATTTGTCTCTTCGAAGGAGAAGGCTGGTTGAAGGCTCAATGTGTTCTTACTAATTCAGCTACAAGAACTTAATGGCTTTGTAGAAGATCAAATCTAACCTGTAAACTCATCATTCCACAATTCTCATTGCTTAGTTGACTAAAGCAGCTGTTATATCCAACCAGGTTTCCTTGAAACAAAAGTGAAGAATGTTCATAGAACTTGTCCTTTATTATAGATCTGTGCTATCTACTCACTGCCAATAGATCCATTTCAAGTAGAATTTGCAGTAATATGCAACTAAAAAAATAACAAAAATAATCCAAGAGAAAAGGATCATGTCAATATTTCTGAATGAAATTAATGTAAAAAAGAAAAATTAATGCAATTGCATTATTATTAAAGTTGACTAGTTTTTACTTAACTTAGATATGGTTAAATATGAAAAATGAAGCCAGTTTTAATACTGATAAAATTATAACCCTCCATTTTTTTTGAGGGGGGAGAGTTGCTGACTTACCTGCTACACCAAAATCATCATCATCAACACTATCATCAGGATCAATGAATGCTGGCATTGTTTGCTGAAGATCATATTGTAAACAGCCAACCAGATGATGGAAAGCCATTTGAACAGACTCTGCCATGACCTCTTGCGCATCACGGCTAAACAAACGAGTATCTTGATCTTGTTTAATGAAATTATATGTTTCTGAAGTATTGGCCATCAAAAAAGCTAAAGCAGCTGGATCCTCATAGCTTTCCTATTAAAGGAGATAAAAGAAAAAAAAATTAAAATACACTTTTCACAAAAATGATTTGAAATTAAACAACTGTTCGTATTAGAGAGAAAGAAAAGAGTGCTAACCTCAATGGCTTGCTGCATGATTCCACTAATTTTGTTAATGAAATTAGTTAACCGTAAAGCTCGTTCCTGGGGTGGCAACTCAGGGTAATAAGCATTGGACAGACGGTGGCGTATGGCCAAATATAAAGTATAGGTTGGAGCAAGTTTAAATTGAACAGTGTTGCATTTCGTATTTAAAATGACTTTTCTTAAAAGTTGGTCCTCAGCTGAAAGAAGAAGTTAAATAATTAAAAAACAAAAAACAAAGTACAAATGCCAAAGTGGTGAACTGATTTCTTTTCAGTTACTTTCTAACTTTTCTTTCATACACACAAAAAAAAAAAAAAAAAAAAAAAAAAATCACAAAAAATAGTGGCAAAGTGCGAGGAATATTTGTCCATAAAGTGAATGAATCCTTACCTTCTTCTCGAAATTCTAGAATAGCAGGCAAAACTTCAGCAGGTCTTCCAGATGGTGCACCATGTTTTCCTTGACTATGTGGACTATGATTTGGGGCACTGCAGAAATAAATGCATTGTTAGAAGGCAATCAAGTAATTTACTTGAAAACTCATTAACTGCAAAGACAGTTCTATGGCTCCATTATGAGTGCCAAAAATTTCTACTATAATTAAGAGGTTAATAATATTCAATTCTGGGTATTGTTCTTAAAGGGAATTTAAAAATCAAGCTTTTATTTTACAATTTAATAGTCAATTTATAAACTTTTTGACTATTTTAGATGCTACACTGTATCTGGTAAAATGAAGAATTTTAGTTCTTTTAATCTCTTTAATGTTCATAGACACCATTTCATTAAAGTGTTTTGCTAAAGAGAAACCAACAATGAACCTTGAATGTGCTCTCTTGTATTTTAGGCATATATTGCAATTGTAGGTAATTGAAGCCATTTCATAAATTCAACATCAAGAACTCTAGCATCTTTCAGGAGAGTTGCCATTTTCTCATAAATGGGATGACAAAATTGCTTGTGAAGTTTTTCTGTTACTTTTTCCTCCACCAAATTTATTTTCAGTATCTCTAGTGCTCATCAGAACAATGCTTTCATTCTTTTTGAGACATGGAATGGCAAGACGGATATAACAATGTCCAGAATTAGAGTGGTGAAGTTGCAACTTTTGACCAAACAGACACAATATCACTTTTAGAATCCATTTCTTCATAGCGTCTTTGCTCAATAAAAGAAGTGTTTCAGACTATTACATCAGCAAGAAAAACTATTGAAATTACTTCAATAGTTTTTCTTGCTAATATAAACAATGTCCATAATAGTAATGTCAAAGGTAGATGAGCATAGTTAACAATGTCTAGACATGGTAGCATAACATTTACAATACTATTAAGAAAACAAATAAAGGAAAAGATATTATATAGTCTTTTTCTTCAGTTGATTATCAGTGAGAAATAAATTTCATTTACCCCCAATCTAATTAAAAAAAAAAAAGAAAAAAAAAAGGGAGGAGTAAGCTGACCTTTTGTGTAAATCTTCTCTGGATAATCCCCGTGGTAAATTCTGATCATCCAAAGTTTCAACATGACCATTCAGTTCGAAAGTGGTTTCAAATGGTTTGTTTTGTTCATCATTCATATCTCCATATGGACCAGGCTGATGCCTTAGGCTGGGAGATGCTGATCCTCGAGGGTAACCAAGATTCTGAAAAATGGTAAACAGATAAGTTAAATGTTTGAGTAGCAAAATAATTCGAAGTAAATAAAATTAGAATCATTTACACTAAAATAATGAGAAACTAAATTATGAAAAATAAAAGACTATTTTTGGTTATTGATTTAATTTAATGAAATTTTGTTATTTTGTTAATTTAAAAAAAAAAAAAAAAAAAAAAAAAAAAAAACAACAAAAAAAACAAATTATTCTACACCAATATCAGATATAAAAAAAAAAAAAAAAAGATAAACATTAAGAAATAGCAGAAAATTAGCATTCATATTGATTAAACAGCATATCTGCAAAGAAATGGTGTGTCAAAAGGACATTCATTCCCTTGACACCGCTTTTACTGTATACACTTTTGACTCCCTTGGCAAGGTTTATTTACAAGAGCATAGAAATATGTGGAAAAGTACAATGTGATATTTATTTATCATTGGATAAAAGACTTATTTGTCATTTTATAAAGAATTAAATTTGAAAAGAAACCTTTTTATTCAAAAATTTATTAAAAAAAAAAAACAAAACAAAATTATCAAAACATATAAGCCAACTACAATGCAATATTTATTTTGAAAAATCTTTGACAACGTTCTACATCATTGCTAAAAAAAAAAAAAAAAAAAAACCTAGCAAAAATCTGCTGACAGATTAAATAAACAATCTAATAGTGTTTAACATCTTTGTTGTCATTCCCAAGAATAAAGAAAATGTATAAATCCACTTTCATACGTTTGCGTTTTATCAAAATTCTAATTATCACTTTTTAAAACAAATATTGCTGAGAGAGTCAAAAGTGTAAAAGTGTATACAGTTATAGCGGTGTCAAGGGAATAACAGTTCTTTTTGACAGTTTTTTGCAGGTATGAAGGTTCAACATTGTTGAGTATTTTTCTTTAATACAGACCTTAACTCTACATCTTATTTCCTGTACACATCTAATGAATACAACTCCACTATATTATTATCACCATATATTATACTACTATTATTATCATACCATTATCATACCATTATCAATATTATTTGGATATCTATTTTGTTTTAGATGTTATAATGGATAACATTGTTTTAGATGTTATAATGGATAAAGATTCTGATAATTTAGGGGCATTATTGGAAACTGGGTATGAAAGCAACTAAAGTTGTTTGCAGAATTGAAGTAAATAAAATGCATATCTGACTGCACTTGCCAAACTAGTTTATGTGATTTACAGTCAGGATTTGTTCCTTGAAAAAAAAAAAAAAACCCATAATTGGATGACCATCAATTTTTGATTACAATGCTTTAAAAACAAGACTGAGGAAAACTTTAACATCAGCACCAAAAGACTTCCATCATCAAAATATACCATTATGGACAGCATTACAAACCTTACCAGACACACACACAAAAAGTAAAACTATATTTCACATGCCTCAATATTAATAAAAATATAATAAAAATATTGCTTATAATGAACACCGAGTTACCAGTATTTTTGGGGCTCCTGTTAGAATAATATATTTTATGAGAAAATTAAAATTTTTAGTTTATATATGAAGCAGAAATGTTATAAAGTTTTAAATAAAATGTAAATTTATTGTAAATTGAACAAATGATCCTTTTAGAAGTTTCTTAGTTTCTCAAATGACAAAAATTTATAAAATTTCAAAGTTTTTTTTTGTTTTTTTTTTAAATTCAAAAAAATTTTTTAGCCCTTACCTCATCGGATCTGGAATCACAAAATCTGAAAATATGATTAAGTCCAAATCTTATGATCATGCCATCCTGCAGCAATGTTGTTTTTGAGACATGCTCATCATTAATATACGTCTCTGCATCTGGCTTTGTTGGTGTGAGAGTAACAGAACCATCCATATGTGCAATGACACAGTGATGAGGAAGGATGTTTTGACCAAACAACTGAAAAAGACAAGAAAAATTAAAAACAAAAACAACAAACAAAACTAAAAACACTAAAATATACCAAATAGTTGAAAGAACTAAATCAAATTTTTCCTTAAATTTTGCAAATTAAATTATTTCACTATTTTAATAATACATAAGTCTCCTTGAAACATTTGACCGAAAAGATCCAGTTTCTTTGGTGTCAAGACAGATTTCTTATTCCAGTAAAGGTTTCTGTTTTTATATATATATATATATATATATATATATATATATATATATATATATATATATATATATATATATAGTGAATTGGATGGAAATAGATAAAGTGGCTTAGTACTTAAAATATTCATTAAAAAAAAAAAAAAAAAAAAAAAAAAAAAATATATATATATATTTTATATATATATATATATATATATATATTAAAAAAAAAACAGACCACTTTAAGGCTCCATTGTAATAGTTTATTTCACCAGAGACCTTTTAAAGGACGCTGGATCATCATTAAAATGAAAAAATAGAAGTCAGGTAGCCTAACATGCATGCAGGTGAGAAATGTAGCAATTTTACCTGTAGATACTGGCCACTTTCAGATACAGATTTCTCACTTCCAACTTCAGTGACATTTGATTGCAAATAGTGAATCCTGCCTTCAATAATTTCTCTGCCATCTGTCGGAGTAAACAAAGGGAACTGCTTTATAAATTTACATTAAACAAAAAAAACAAAAAAAAAACAGTATTTCATTAAAAACAAGAAGCTTGTGTGCATTTGTAAATTCAGATTTAAATATATCTGTAAAAAGACAATTTCAATAAATACAAATGGAAAACTTTACCAATGTGTTTCATCCTTTTAAGAGCTTTATCAAGGTGAATGTAAGGATTTTATTTTGCAACATATTTTATAAACAAAAGTAAAAATACGAGGTATTCAAAATTTAAAAAATTTTAAATGCTCAAATATATCCTTAAGGAAAACTGTGAAAGTTGAAGTAATCTATGGAGGCTGCTAAGTGATGTCATTTAATCTTTTATCTAAATAAATGGCAAATTCTTTCTGTTCGTTTGTATGTCTGAAGAGCCGAGTTCGAATTCCAGTCAAATCCATTACATTCACTTACATGCTAATATCCTTGGGAAAGGTATGAATCCTCTTCTCCCTCCAGCTATGGGTAAATAGCAGGACAGACTGGGTTCTATAGCCTTGGTCTAGGAGAAGGACAACTCTGAATTCAAAACCTGCGGAGGGTCGTTTGGGGACCCTGTGGCATGTTGGCCCTTCAAAAAGTGTGGATGGTCCTGCACGAAACCTTCACCACTATAATCAAATCTCATGTGCTGTTGTCAGGCTGTCAGTTTCCTAGGAACTGATCTGCTTGACCCTCATATGTTGTATTTGATGGGAGAGTCAATATATATATATATATATATATATATATATATATATGTATGTGTGTGTATGTATGTATATAAATAAATAAACACACTTATTGTAGCTAATATAAGTAAATTCTTTACCACTGTGGAGTTCTAGCAAGTAAGGTAATCGGTATTGCTGAGGAGGGCTTTTGTCTGGGTTGGAACACAAGTCATTATGAGAAACTGCTGCTCGCATTCGTTCTTTCTTTCTGTCATCTTGAGGCCGCAATCGAAGTTGGAATATGAGGCTACCTAAAGATAAAAAAAAAAAAAAATTTCAAGGTATAATCAGTTTTTATGAGCAATTCATGTGAGGATGTTGAAATATAATTAACAACAGAAGATATTAATTTAAAAAAGTATAACATGTAAAATAAACAACACACATAACCCATGGTAATTTAAAATACCTACAGGAGGAAAAAAGGGAAGAGGTGAGGGGGGCCTAAATTTATTAATAAACTGATAATGACTGAAGATAAAACAAATGAAACCATTTTGTTATTTATGTAGAAAAAGATAGATATATTTTCCATTTTATAGGAAAAAATAAGTAAATGCAGTCAATTAAGGCTGCTGTGAGAGTATTGTGTTCCCCCCCACCATTACATTTCAAATTTATATAAAATACAAAGTTTATTGTAACCTAATTATGTGCAAAATGGATCATATGCCATAAAAGTGAACAATTCAAGTAGAAAAGTTGAAAATAAATACAATGTATCTAAATACAAATTAATGACATGTCATAAGAGATCATTTCATCTTTAATAAATCAACAATATTTTGTGACACATTTTAACATCAATTTGCGATTTTTCTTTTTAAAATGCTGAATTTGTTAAAATCCAGCATTACAGATAAATATAGTGGATTTTTTACAGCATTTTTTACAGGATTTAGCTTGAGCAAAACAAAATCATGGATTTGGACAAAGAAAAACCCAGAATGACATCAAAATCCACAGAAAATTTTTCATCTTTTAATAGTCAGTTATGCTTAGTTTAATTTGTAACATAATTGTAGGTGAAGAAAAAAAAAAATGTTAAGATAATGACAGTGATAAAGCACTGTCCACAGCCCCCGATCAACAATTTAAAAAAAAAAAAAAAAAAAAATTATAGTATTTTTAAATACTTGAACATGTCTAAAAATTTTCCCCATTATTATAAGATTAAGGCATTCTATTAGCTATTATACAAGATGAAATCATTGTGTGGCAATCAGGTTCTGTTTCCAGGCATTTCAATTACATACCCTTGTGAAGATCAGTTCCCACACAGACAAGTGATTTTTTCTGGAGCATTACAGGGACATAGTACCCACTATTGTTGTTGAACCATTACTAAGACTGCTATTAAAACATATCTACCACTTGCTTTCACTGTCCTAACACTACACTCTACATATATAGACATATTCATTCACATATTTATGCACATGTAAGCATAGTAACTGAATTAATCCTTAATGCATCTTTTTCATTTCTACTTTATAAAGTGTTTTCTAATAGTATCTGACTTATATTTTAACAATGCCTTGGGTAACATTCTTTCAGCAAATAAGACATTAACATGAAGACCTTTTTAACTTATCAAAACAATGTTGGTTTCAATCCCTATAAAATTACTGCTAAAAACATTCCCACCCCAAATTTAGACAAATCCCACAAATGCATACTGGGATTTCTTCCTAACTTATAAAAATGGGTCTCATTTGCCATTATTTTTTTTGTTCTTGTTTTTAAATCAGAATGTTACATTCACTTGACTGTATCCCTTTTGTTTGTGAACATAATTCTTACTTTGTGAACTTTGTACCTTATTATTGTTACTTTGCTGAGTTTTGTCTTGCATATATCTTGTTTGCTTAGTAATATATTGCCCTGTATTTTTCTTCCTTTTATTGATTATTGAGCATTTTCAATTACTCCACATACTGCTTTACTTGATTCATGAGAAATTTAATTTTTGTAAAGTGATGTATTAATAACAAAAAAGACAACCAAAATTTGCATGTTTTAATTTAGCATGATACTCTTCATTCATCATACCACATTACAATTATTCAAAACATTTACACAAAACACAATGTAGTAAAAAGCTGTCCTTGAATCAGATAGGCAAGTATTATTTCCTTTGTTAGAAAAAAAAAATTTATATTGCAGTTAGTGAACTAGGTTTTTGTTTGTCCTGAAAGATTATCTTCAGGATAAAATTGCATAATAGATTATTTCCCATAAATCCATGGAGATCAACATGAAAAAATATATACTCCTTAAATATCCTACATGATAGTCTCTCAGCAAACTACACAGTTTTAATAAATAAAAACTATCAAATAAAACAAGAAGCTGAAAAGGTTTCATTGATATCAAAAGTGGCTCTGATCAAAGGACAATCATTTATCAACATCTTAGTTCACAGACAAATGAAAAACACATCAAATAATGAAGGAAAGAAAAGCTGAATTCATGAAAATGAGGCTCTTTTCATCTTTTAGATGTTCACTTTACAGTCACTAAGTCTCTATTATTAGCTTGCAGTTGATGAACAAAGCAAAACACATTAAAAGGACAAAAGACATTTTTCAGCAAAATTTATAAACAATTTAGTTTGAAAGTCAATACATGAAAGATATATTCACAGTTGACACACAAAACAATACATCAAGTCAAATGCTACACCATTTAGCTATTAAAAGAAAACATTTGCTTTTATAAAATAACATGTTCCACTTTTTAATTAATTTTAAAAGAAGATAACCAGACATTAAATGTGATAATTGGTAAATAAACCATCTATTAATGATTGCTTTTATTTATATATTGTAATCATAGATTTTGTAAGTACATGACTATCTACAATAAGAAAGGACTATATTACTGAATTAAGAAATTGGGGGGGGGGGCTGATATTTAATATCCAAAACCGTTAAGTTCTACATTATATAATAGAAAATTAAAAAAAACATGAATTATATAAAAGATTAATAAAAAGTGAGTATAAAAAATAAAAATGATACAATAGACAAGGTTTGTTTATTGCACTTTCTTTTGAGTAGTGTTTAAAAAATAATTATAAAAAGAAAGCCAGATGGTTAATAAAAAATACCTCGAATAAATTTGATGTATAAATTTTAGTTTACAAATTGTAATAAAAAAAAAAAAAAAAAAAAAAAAAAAAAAAAAAAGGCTTACATCTTATGTAAAATACTGCCTAAATGAAGCTTGTTAGTTTATAAGAAAGATACTCAGGTAAAATTTCGTTTTCAAATTCATTAAAAAATAGGTACCAGTCTTATGGTCAGAAAAAACCCAAAAAGACGTAGCTTAATTTTTAGGTTTCTAACCAATGAGGAACATAATTTCCATGTAGGCAAATTTCATACTTTGATTGAATTTGGAGCCTATGTTGAGATGATTTAAGTCATTGAATTAGAGAATCAGGTCAACATAAGAGACAGCATGTGGTGCTGTAAGAACCAAGAGTTGTGTCCTCTTCCACAATGGAACATTAAGAGAAGACCTACTTACACTAGGTGTCTGACTATTTGCATATGAATGATACTGGGCAGCTATTAGCCAATAGTCAGTGTAGGTCTGGGTCTGAGACTAGGAGAGCTATATAACACCAGTTTTTTTTCTCAGTTGGGAGAGCGCTCTCAATGTACAAATGTGCAGAAAACCAGACAAGACAAACACAAGCTATTTTGGCAATTGATGGATGATGGCAGACATCAAATTCAATTTAAAGTTAATTCCCAAGTTTGATGGATTAGTGTCCAGTTTTCCAGTGGTTGAACGCATAGAGAAGCTGGAACTCATTTGCAGGCTATGTGGAGTGAAGGCTTTGGGGAGCATGTGGTCCCTTTGAGACTTATTGGGTGGAGCATTTGCAGTCTACCATCAAGTTATTCAATGCTTTCTTGGTGGAATATGGCATCCAGCTGCACTTTCAGTGTGCACATGTGCTTTCTGAAAACAAGATAATAAAAGGTACCATAGGAGCATAAAACAGATTGTAGCATGGAAACAGTGCCCTGTACAAGAAGCTGTTTGTTGGTATAATGCGACGCTGAAGGAAAAATGTAGTTCATACTTACAAGGTTAGGCTTAAGGACATTGACACTGTACATGCACTAACCCCATTGACAGAGCACAAGATATATAAAGTTGAAGATGTGTTGTCGGTTTACAACCGGGAAGGTCACTGGGATCATCAGTCCACAATTGTTCCTGATTGATGGCATGCTATGACATATTAAAGACCTCTGATTGGCATGGGACCAATGCTCTGCTGCTAGTTGGAAGTAGATTCCTGGGTGTTTGATGTGCCTCTTGCCGCAGTGGAGACGGACAGTGACAACAATAATGATGATGTATCTCACTTGTGTGGTGACAACAATGAAGACAAAGTACCTTCTCTGCGAAGGAGTACCAAAAATGTAACAGAATTGGGTCAACCTGATAAGAGACTCAGAGTTTGTTTTGATGTAGTGCTTACAGCACCACATGCAACCAACTCTGAGCTGAGTTATGTCCTCTTTCACAATGGGCTGTTCAGAGAAAACCTACTTATATTAGGTGGTGCTATTTGCATATGAACGATACTGGGCTGGTATTAGCCAATAGTCAGCATAGGTCTGGGACTGAGAGAGCTATATAACATAATATATATAACACCATTTTTTTTCTCAGTCAGGAGAAGCACTCATATTGTGTGGAAAACCAGACAAGATAAACACAGGACCAGGATTTTACCATTCACAAGCAAATGAGGGAGGGCTGCTAATAATGATGGTAACAATGACAAGAAAGAAAAAAAAAAAAAGAACAAAGATAAAAAAGAAAGAAAAGATTCTTAAAATTAGACGTATCAATCCTAATTTTGAACTTTTACAAAAAAAGAAAAAAAAAAAAATGGGATTTATCCCAATATTGTAGTTCATTTTAAAAACCAAATTACTAAAATTTCTAATGATGCGTGTGAATTTGCCAGCCTTCTCAGACAATTTTTTGACTGTTGAAAGTAAGTAAGCAAATGAAAGTTTTATTGAAAAATTTATATCAGCTTTTAGGAGGCCATATTTTAATTTTTGAATTGGTATTCTTGCAAGTGCAAACTTATTTGTAAACATGGTATTCTGTTCTAGTGTATTTTATAAGTCCTTGTAATAAATGTTTGTTTCTTACAAATTTCACATTGAAGTTTTGAGTCTTGTTTTTTATGTATAAGCCTTATATAAATAAA